TATTGGCGGATTTTTGGATTTTTTTGGGCATACTTAAGAAAACGTAAACAATTAAATTAACTGATTTAAACTTTGGACTTTCAATCAATTGATCAAGTTCATTCAATTTTTGCCATGGTGAAGTCAAAGTCCAAACCAAAAAGGACAGAATATCCAAGTCTTTTGTTTTATGGATCTGCAATTTATGATTTTTTATCACCTTTTAAAAGAGCTCAAAATCAATGGGCAGCTCGTTATATAGTTGTTATATTTGCTATAATAATAAGATCAGCTATTGGATTTGGTTCATATTCAGGCCATGCTATACCACCTATGTTTGGTGATTTTGAAGCTCAAAGACATTGGCTAGAGATCACACAACACTTACCAATAAGTCAATGGTATTGGTATGATTTACAATATTGGGGGTTAGATTATCCACCATTAACTGCATATCATTCATGGATCTTGGGGAAATTGGGTTCATTGATTAATCCTGAGTGGTTTGTACTAGATCTTTCAAGAGGTTTAGAAAATCAAGAATTAAAATCATTCATGAGATTCACAGTTATATTAAGTGAAATTATTATTTTCATTCCTGCAGTTTTCAGATTTACAAGATGGAATGGTAAACATATTAAACAATCACCAATTGATCAAACCATCGCTGCTTCAATGATCCTTTTCCAACCTTCATTAATGGTTATAGACCATGGTCATTTCCAATATAATTCAGTAATGTTGGGATTTACATTATTATCAATTGTTCATCTTTTTTATGAAAATTATTTATTTGCATCAATTTTTTTCGTTTGTTCATTAGGTTTTAAACAAATGTCACTATATTATTCACCAATTATTTTCTTTTATCTATTATCAAGATGCTTTAATCATACAGATTCAAATTTACCATGGATTCAAAGAATAAATTTCTTAAGATTAATACTTATTGGTATAACAACAATTTTATCATTTGTGGTACTTTTCGGTCCTTTGGTATTATTTGGTGATTTCCAAAACTTATTACAATCAATCAATAGAATTTTCCCATTTGATAGAGGTATTTTTGAAGATAAAGTTGCAAATTTTTGGTGTTTTGGTAATATTTTCATAAAATTCCGTACATTTTTAACTCAACAACAATTATCATTAATAGCATTATCATTAACTACATTATCATTCTTACCAGCTTGTATAATTATTTTATTATATCCAAGAAAATGCTTATTACCATGGTCATTAAGTGCATGTTCTTTAGGTTTCTTCCTTTTCAGTTTCCAAGTTCATGAAAAATCAATCTTGGTTCCATTATTACCAATCACTTTATTATACTCAACAAAGAATACAGATGAAATAGCAATGGTTTCATGGATAAATAACATTGCTTTATTTAGTTTATGGCCATTATTGAAAAAAGATGGATTAATGATTCAATACGGTGCTTTATTCTTATTATCAAATTGGTTATTTGGTAATTTAAGTTTTATAACCCCAAGATTTTTACCAAATTTCTTGACACCAGGTCCTTCAATTTCTGTTATTGATGGTGATTTAAAAAAAAGACATGGTTTACCTTCAAGTCTATTATGGAGATTGATCATTTTATTATCTTATACAGGTATTGCTGTGATACATTTTGTTGATTTATTTGTTAAACCACCTTCTCAATATCCTGACTTATGGGTGTTAGCTAATGTTTCATTATCATTTGGTTGCTTTGGATTGTTTTGGTTATGGATTTATTATAAATTAATTGTTCTAAGAGATGTTGCGCATTGATTGTTAAATATCTCATAACTCCATAAATAATAAAAGACCTTACGATATTATAACTACAACCAACTGTAATGCTTTCTTTTCGTTCTTTTTTTCGTTTAAATATGGATATCATTATTTTATTATTATATTTATATGCTAGTACATTCAGCAAGTTGGGAACGTTATCCCTTCTTTAAGCTTTCTATCTGCAGTGAATAATCCCCATTCTGTTTCCCATTTTGAGTTTTGAGAATGATATATCTGTTTCCATGGTTCATCATAAGCTTCGAAAAAGTACCATGGATAAGCTTTTGCTTTAGCTTCACATATCCAACTATTCAAAAAATATTGCATATGACGTTTTCCTGCAACTGCTTTCTTATATTTACCACCATGATAAGGCCATCCAATTTCTGAAATTATAACTTGTGCTTTGCTTTTAATGTTATCCTTCATTGGTTCAATTTGATATTTAACAAAATCAAATACCCATTTAGTAGCTAGTTGAACAGTTTTCCCTGTGAAGAATGGATGAGAATTTGATCCATAGATATCAGAAGCTGCTATAACATTAAAATCAGATCTTGGTCCTAATTCTGAAGTTCCAACAGGTAAATCCCATTTCAATTCATTCTTTATGAAAGATTTTGCATTATGTATGTACTCTATTAATTTTTCAGGGGATTGTTCTTCACGGAATAAAACTTCATTTCCTATGAATACAGCATCAAAATATTTTCTTGGATATTGCCTCAATAAACTTTTCATATCCTCAACTTGTAATTGATTTATATCATCATTTGGACCTATCCAAACACCCATTGCTAATGATACATTAAGATTTAAAGTTTTAATTGAATCCAAAATAAATTTAGCTTGGTTACATTGTGTACCATAAGTTCTTAATCTAGATGTGACTTGAGACAATTGTGCAACATCTAACATCACTTCATGTAAAGTTGCTCCACAAATTGGGTATATCACATTTCTTGGGGCATAATCAATTCCATAAAATACATTTTTCAATGCTGTATTATTCATCATTTGTTGAATTTCTTCATTTTGTTGATACTTCTTTGGAATATTTTCAAATTTAGATATACCAGCAATACTAACTGAGCCATCGGATAACTTATCATTCTGTGAGCTGGAGTTACTAGCAGGTAATGAATGAGTTGTTCCATTGTTATTTCCAATGGCATTTTGTGTGTTATTTAAATTTCCAAAGGGATAAAACTTCAGTAACATCTCTGATCTTCTAAGTGGATTTATATTACTCAAGTAATTGAATGTGGTGGATTCTGTGCCTCTTGAATAAACAAGCAAAAGTGGAATGAATATACAAGCCATTAAAAGTATAACCATAATCAATATCCATATGACCACCATGTAAATTTTATTACCTATAGGTTTCCTTAGTCTTTCTTCCCAATTTAAAGAACCAAAATCTCTGTCACCATTCCCATCTTTGTCTAACTTCAACTTCTCTAGTTTTTCATTATTGAGATCACCCTTTTCAGCATAATTATACAAGTCATCATCACCATCTTTTTCTTTTTCATATTGCATATTTCTTTCGCCATCGAACATTGGTGGTAAATCTTTGGCAGATTGGAAGAATCTGGAATCTTTCTTCTTGCAGTTTAATTCTGACTCTTTTGTTAACGCATTATACGGATCATCAGCATCTCTCAAAGTGTCAATGATAGATTCTTCATCATTGAACTCCTCATTCTTGTTTTGCTCTATATCTGTAGTATCTTGAGTTTCTGGGTCTTTTTGACCATCTTTAAGCACACTCCTTGAGCGACTTAAACTATTTCTATCTTGTGAAAATAATAAAGGTGGAGAATCTCCTTTGTTTGGATCATTATTCGGACCTGTTTTGCGTTTTGATCTACTTCTGGAAAGACTGCGTTTGATCACATCTAAATAATCTGGATTTGTCCCAAGTTCTGATCCAAGAATTGATCCATCACCTCTTAATAACGTTTCTGGTAAAGTTTGTTTGCCAGAATTTGCAACAGTATCTAAGTTGTTCTTATTTCCAGTTTGAATATTATTAGAGTATAACAAAGCAGGCATGGCGCTATCCCATTGAGAGGCATTATCCTGAACACCATTTCCAGTTGTTGGTTTCTTCAAGATTGCTGAATTATTTTGCAAGTTTGTTGTAGATCTCAATTGTTCCAAATTTTGATCAAGATCCAATGTGGAAGGATTGGTATTCTCCTGAGCAGAAGGACGTAAAGGTGGGATAGCGGCAGATTTTGGTTGTGCGATTGATAAATTTTCTATTGGTCTATTATAATATGTCTCTTGAATATTAGCACTAGTAGTGAAGAATGATTCTGGTGCTCTTGATGATCCTAATCTTCTAGTAGTCAATGGTAAAGGGGCACTTTTCAAATCATATTTTGAGCTGTCAATATAGTTCTGAGGTGTATTTATTATTGGTGTATGTTGACTTTCAATACCACCTGTTATTCTAACTGTATCTTGTGAGCTATAAACAGAAGAGCCAGATCTATTGTCACCATGGTACTCATACCTTGGAATCCCACTGCTTTTGATATCAATGCCTTCTTGATAAACTTCTCTACCACTTTTGAGATCATTTTGAAATCCACTTCCAAAACTTATAATCTTACTACTTTCAGGCCCTTTATGTATTGGTAAACTACCATCTGTTTCTTCATCATAATCATCACTATCAGTTTCTAAGATATAAGATGTTGGATTCTCTATTCTTTCACCATTGTCTTGGAATGTTGAATATGATCCCGGTTCTTCCCTTATTGGATGTTGTTGTTCTTCTTTATTCATATCTTCATTATCTAACAATTTACCTTGATTTTCATCTTCTGGAGAACTTTGGAAACTTGATTCAATAGATATAATATTCAACATTGAAGCTTCATCTTCATTTTCAAAATCAAATGTATTCGAAGACATCACAGTTTGATCTTCATGTTCTTTGGATAAGCTTGGTGGTCTAATGGTAGTTTGATCCATAGATGTATTCTCAGTTACAAAATCACTATTATCATCATCAATTTTTTTAGGAATAGAAGATGCTCTTGAAACAGAAGACTTCAAACCAGCACGGCCATCTTTCACATTTCTTGATTTGCTTCTAATTGAAAACATAATGACACCAATGTAGCGGTAATTTCATGAACCAATCTAATATCTAATGAATTCTGAACCAAAATGTCAAAAAACCTGGGAAATAACACAATGAATCTAAAAATCTATCTTCAACTCCAAACCCACCAATTAAGAGCCTCTATGCTTACTCTTTGTTATAGCACCTTAACTGATCCTAGCCTCATCTTCCAAACATTCAAATGAATCCCTATAAAGTCAACCATGATCATCATCAAAAATTAATGGTTTTGTGTAACCAAATAACAACAAAAAAAATAGATTAGCCGCTGAACTACTAATCTTCTAATTGACTGCTTCCCGAACCAAAAAAATAATTCGGCGCTTTTGACCAATCTTGGACGAGTCCGGAGTCGAACCGGAGACCTCTCCCATGCTAAGGGAGCGCGCTACCAACTACGCCACACGCCCGAATTTTTAATTTTTGAAAAGGCATGTTTCCCTCAATGTCTAATTTTATATCACGTGTCTCTGGTTTGCGCCACATCCACTATTTTTACACCAAAAAAAATTCCCAAACCTTGGCCATTTTCCATGGTGAATAAAGTCAAAATCTGTTTTCACTTTATCTACTAGATCTTAACACATTTCAATTCACCACAGAAATTTAATCAATCTTTACAAAATGTCATTTGTCAACAAATACGCTGATAAGAAAGCCATCATCTTTACAGATTTCGATGGTACTGTTACTTTACAAGTATGTGTGGTGTTTTTCGTTCAATCAGATCTAGAGATCTAGCAACATGTGATAATTATGATATCAATCATATGGGTTACGGGTTACTATGGATCCTTTTGATAGCGCTGAACATCAATTGACTAAAAAGTAAATGGAAACTAACAATGGTAACAACAGGATAGTAATGATTTCATTACTGATAACTTAGGGTTTGGTTATGATAAACGTAAAGTTTTAAATGATGAAGTCTTGAATGAAACTAAATCATTTAGAGAAGCTTTTACATTAATGTTGGAATCAATTAAAACTCCATTCCCAGATTGTGTTGATTATTTATTAAAAAACATTAAATTAGATCCAGGTTTTAAAGAAGCTTTCAATTGGGCTCAAGAAAATGATATTCCAGTTGTTGTTGTTTCAAGTGGTATGAAACCAATTATTAAAGCTCTTTTACAAAATTTAGTTGGTGAAGAATCAATTGATAAAATTGAAATCATTTCAAATGATGTTATAGTTAATGAAGATGGTTCATGGAAAATCCAATATATTGATGAAACTCCATTTGGTCATGATAAATCAAGAGCTATTAGACCTTATAGAGAATCAAGAAAAGATGTTAAAACTCAAACTTTATTCTACTGTGGTGATGGTGTTTCAGATTTATCTGCTGCTAAAGAAACTGATTTATTATTTGCTAAAAGAGGTAAAGATTTAGTTACTTATTGTAGAAGACAAGGTGTTGTTTTCAGAGAATTTGATTCTTTTAAAGATATTTTAGAAAGTATTAAATCTGTTGTTAATAATGAAAAAACTATTGATGAATTAAATGAAAATAAATAAGTGTTTTGGGAAATAATTAAGGGGAGAAAGAATGTCATGTTATAGTAACATGGTTCAATATAATTATAAATTTTCAGTTCTAAAGTGTGATAGTGTTGTGTTGTTTTTCCATTATTTAGACAAGTATAACAAGTATACAAAGAAAAAAAGAAGAATATAGAATAAACTGTCATATTCATTATATATAAATTTGCTAATTTAAAATAGTATAGATCTATACAAAAACGTATTAATTTGTTCTAATAATAAAAAAATCTAAACGTACATTATTCATATATATATTAATCATACCACATCTTAATCAATTCTTCAGAAACAGCACTTGGTGTTAATACACCTAAATCAGTAATCAATGCAGTAATAAATTCATGAGGAGTGAAATCAATTTGTGGTGAATTATTTCCAATTTCTTCATCATTAGTGGTGAATTGTAAAGAATTTTGATCAGTTGGAATATCATCTGGTGCCAATGGGAACATTCTAACGAATTTATGACTTTCTGAAACAACATAAAATGGTTTATTTGCACTTTTAGCTAAAACACCAATTTGATAAGTACCAACATGATTTATTATACCACCACTTTCTGCAACACCTTCAGCACCAACTAAAATCTTATCAACTTTATGTATCACATACCCTACAGCAGAATCAACAATTAAATTAACAGGAACACCTTGTTCTCTAAGCATCTTAGCCATGATTTCACCTTGGAAAGTTGGTCTTGCTTCTGTAACAATAACTCTAAATCTAATTTTTTTTTCAACCGCATGATTTAATAATGTGAAGACAGTTCTTGAAAAAGAATGTACCAAGATTATATCATCATCTGTTATAAATCTAGCACCGAATGCTGCAATTTTATTTCTTGAATCTTTGGATCTTTCTAAAAATAATTGACCATTTTCAACTAAATGACGTTTACATGATTCATAATCTTGATATAAATGAGTATTCCTTAGTACGAATCTCATGAATAAATCACAACCAGCAGATAATGAAATGGCATTTGGAATTGATTGTTTCAAAGTATCTGTGGCACTTTGTGTCAATTTAATCAATTCTGATGAAGTTGAAGGTTGTTTAACTTTTAATAATGTAACTAATGACTCAATAGCAGCAATAGGCATTGTAATTTCTGGATCTTCTTCCAAGAACTTCAAGTATGAACTCTTGATATCAAACTCTGTATCTCCCATTGTCTCTTAATCTTCTATTGACTTGTTTCTATCTATTTATATTCAATTTCTAACAACTTTCACGTCAAAATTTATTTCAAAAAGCTCATCTAAAATCAATTTTTTTACCCGGTAAATTTAAATTTTTAATATACTTTCGCGAATTTTCCAATATTAATGTAACACTAATAATGTTTCGAAAGTTTATATGTCAATCCAAAATACCACAGTATTTATAAATTCATAGATTCATTCTATTCAACAATGGTGTCAGTATGGAGACAGACACTGGTGAGGAGTTTCCATACTTCCAGGATCATCAAAGCTCCACCATCTTACCCAATCTCCAAAATCAGAAATATTGGTATTATTGCTCATATAGATGCAGGTAAAACTACTACAACTGAAAGAATGTTATATTATAGTGGTATTACTTCCAGAATAGGGAATGTTGATCAAGGTGATACCGTGACAGATTTCTTACCAGCTGAACGTGAACGAGGGATCACAATTCAAAGTGCTGCAATTACATTACCTTGGAATAAGCATAAAATAAATTTAATTGATACACCAGGTCATGCAGATTTTGGATTTGAAGTTATTAGATCTTTAAAAGTTCTTGATGGTGCTGTTACTATATTAGATGCAGTTGCTGGTGTTGAGGCACAAACTGAAAAAGTTTGGAAACAAAGTAAATTTATACCTAAATTGTTCTTTATAAATAAGATGGATAGAGAAGGTGCAGGATTTAGTAGGACTGTTAAGGAAATTATATCAAAATTAGGTACTAGAGTATTATTGTTAAATGTTCCATATTTCATTGAACTGGAGAATAGAGAAAGAAAATTCGTTGGTGTCTTGGATATATTGAATAAAAAATTACTTAAATGGAATGATGATGAAAGTATATCAGTATTAGAATTAGAAGGTGAGACTTATGATGAAGTTGTTCGTTGTAGAGAATCATTAGTGGAGACATTAGGAGAAATTGATGATGCAGTTATTGAAAATTTTTTTGAAACTGAAGATTATATGAAAGTTTCAACAGATGTCTTAATGAAAGCCATCAAAAAATCAACTTTAACAAATTATGCAGTTCCTGTTTTATGTGGTGCAAGTTTTAAAAACATTGGTGTTCAACCATTAATGGATGCTGTTAATCATTATTTACCATCACCATTAGAATGTAAACCAGATGTTAATGTTCCAGTGGAAATTACTAAAGATGGTGCAATAATTAATAAAAATAAAAATTTAACCGTTGCAATGGCTTTCAAAGTTATAACTGATCCAATTCGTGGTGTTATGGTATTTATTCGTGTTTATAGTGGGAAATTGAAAAATCATGGTACAGTTTATGTTAATGGAGAACGTTTCAAATTAGGGAAATTATTAGTTATGCATGCAAATGTTCCTCAAGATGTTCAAGAAATTTCAGCAGGTAATATTGGTGTTATTGTTTCAGATAATTTGAAAACTGGTGATACTATATTAGGACATGCACAAAATAAGAAATTACAAGCAAAAGAATCAAATATTGTTGTTAATCCAATAATTGTACCACCTCCAGTTTTCAGTATTTCATTAGAACCAAGAACCTCTGGAGATAAAAGAAGTATGGATGAAGCATTATCAGTCTTGCTTAGAGAAGATCCAAGTTTAAAATTAACAGTTGATGAAGAAACTGGACAAATTTTATTATCAGGTATGGGTGAATTACATTTAGAAATTGCTAGAGATCGTTTACGTGATTTGAAAGCTAAATTAGAAATTGGACAAATTATGGTTTCATATAAAGAAGCTGTTACTAATAAATTAACTATTTCCAAAGAAAATAAAGATACTGGGTTCTTCATCACATTATCATTGGAACCATTACCTGAAGAGCTTGAAGTTGATAATACCAAATCAAGAGTTAATTTAGGTGATAATAACATTCTTGAAGTTCCAAATGAACCAGAAACTTGGGACAAGGTAATGTCATATCAATCATGTATTAATGCATTTATATCAGGTTCAATTTCAAGTATTCAAAGAGGTCCGATCTTGAAATTACCATTAAATTCAACATTAATCAAGATTGTTTCATTTGATTTACCAATAGATTCTAATAATGTTACCCAATGGATTCAATTAGTTCGTCAATCTATATTGGAACTATTACAAAATGAATTAAATTTCGTTGCATTAGAACCTGTGATGAATGTATCAGTTGAAGTTAATGGAGAAGATATTGGTAACGTTATGCAAGATTTAACAAGTGCCAGAAAGGGTATAATTAGTGGGATTGATGATGGTGGTGATAACGTTGAATTAGTTAAATTTAAAGATATAAGTGAATCTCAATATGTTCCAATGGATCCTACTTTAGAATTTTTGAAAACTAATGATGGTTTCAATGGTGGTCAAACTATTCATGCAGTTGTTCCATTAAGAGAAATGATTGGTTATTTACCAAAATTAAGAAGTTTGACCCAAGGAAGAGCTACTTATCATATGGAATTCAAAGGTATGAGCCCTATAACAAGTGATAGATTAGTGGAGATCACCAATGAGTTTTAAATAAAGTCCAAAAAATGACATCTTGTATATAAAATAATAGTTTTTGAATTCGGTATGTAGTTCAATGCAAGTACGTTCCACGATTTCTTTTTAAACCCGGTTGAAATTTTGAAAAAAAAACCAAGATCAATTAATACCCAAGGGATCATTTTAGTAACAAATTGATTCAAATCTCAATAGATATCATTATTCAAAAGGACTTCCTCGAGGATTAGTTGGAACATGCTATGATACTATGTTTCCCATCTTGTTACCCATCTTTTTCTCATTCATCTTGTACCTTATTCAACCTCAACAATACTTTGGCTCAACAACCTTTGAATCAAATGATCAATATCAACGAGAAAATGCGACTTTTTTAACATTATGTCGAAATTCAGATCTTTATCCCATGCTGGAGACTATTCAATCTATAGAGGATAGGTTTAATCATCAATATCATTATGATTGGGTTTTCCTAAATGATGTTCCATTTACTCAGGAATTTAAAGATACTGTAACACCATTGATTAGTGGACAAGTTAAATTTGGGTTAATATCTGAAGAACATTGGTCATATCCTGATTGGATTGATCAAGAACGTGTTGCTAATTCAAGAATGGAATTGAAAGACCAAGTTGTTTATGGTGGTGTTGAATCTTATAGACATATGTGTAGATGGTATTCGGGTTTTTATCAATGGCATGAATTATTAACAAATTATAAATATTATTGGAGAGTTGAACCTGAAATTAAATTATTTTGTGATGTTGATTATGATATTTTTAAATATATGAGAGAAAATAAAAAGAAGTATGGATTTATTATATCAATTTATGAATTTAAAATTACAATACCTACATTATTTGAAACCATTTTAAACTTCATCTCTCATGATTCAACAGTTCAACCAGAAATTCCTAAAGATAATTTAAAAGATTTTATAATTGATAAAGATGGTGAATATAATTTATGTCATTTTTGGACAAATTTTGAAATTGCAGATCTTGATTTCTTCAGAAGTGAAACATATCAAAAATATTTCCAATATTTAGATCAAGCAGGTGGATTTTTTTATGATAGATGGGGTGATGGACCTGTTAGAAGTATTTATACAAGTTTATTCTTATCTAAAGATGAAATTTTCTGGATTAAAGATTTTGGTTATACACATCCACCATATTTACAATGTCCATTAGATCAAACCATTCGTCAAGATAAGAAATGTTCATGTGATCCTGGGAAAGATTTCACATTGAATGATTATAGTTGTACTGGGAGATATTTAAAGATTAATGGATTGGATAAGGGAGAATATTCATCATGGAACGAGGTTCCATATCATTTATATTGATCAAGTAATCCTATAACATATAACCAAGTAATCACTTGATTGTTTATATTATATATATATATAGCTGCATTTAATACCAAATTGAGACACGCATTTTAACATTAAACTCGATTTAAACACGCGTAAGACCAGATTTGTAAGATCTTCCAGCTTCCAAGTTAAATAAACGTTCCTTTATAAAATAACAGATTCGATATTTAACCATTTTGACGCATAGATCACCGTTGCATCAGATCTAGAAATAAGGTATAAAAGAACTCTGGGAACAACCAGAACAAAAACAACAGCCACAATAAGTACCAAAATCCCCAGCAGTAAAACATATCAACTATCAAATACCACTTTCAAAACACATATATTCCACTTCAATTCAGAATTATTTGTATTCTACTTATCACCAAATTTCACTCTCTGCCTAACTTTTCTGCACGATCCTGTTCATTCCCGTATGAGGTCTCCCTAGGCAAGTCGTAGGTAGGTTTTAGGCAGAAGACACACAAATTTTAGGCAGAACTTAGGCAGAACCGTTTCCTAATTCCCACCAGTGTCCTAACCGCCTGTGGAATCTTTTTTTATTTTTTTTATTTTTTGGTGGACTTTTTAGATTTTTTTCTTTCCAGTGGTGTTTTGAAAAAAAGAATAGTTTACAACATCAACTTGTTTTACTATTCTACTCGAAGTTTGGTTTGTTTCTTGTTGAAGTGGTTTCTTGGTGGTTTCTTGGTGCTGTCAATTGCTTGGTTTTGGGAAAAAAAGCTGTTTGAAGAACCTCGTTGGCGTTGTTTGTTGGTATTTATTGGTTATATCATTGCTTAAAGGCTAAACGCGCTCTATATTAAAGTTAGACATTTATCAAGACATAAAGGAAGAAATTAGGGATATCCTCATTATTATAAGACAAATATCACAAGAATAAGATAAGGATCATCCAAGATGAATGCGCTCCTTTATAAATCCAAAAGAATCTTTAAGAAAAAAGGTTCATTGATACTATTATTCTTTATAATACTTGTCTTTATATTCAATTATTCTTCATTATCAAAATATACTTCAGATCAATTATCAAATTATTCACAATCTTCATCTAATCTTGGGACTGATGATGATGATAATACTATACCATTCTATAAATCAAATGCAGCAAAACCTAAAACTCAAATTAAAGAAGAAAATGAAAAAAAATCAAGATTAGAAAAAATGAAATTAATTCAACAAGATCTTGATGAAGATAAATCTGGTTCAAGATTAGTTTTGGGTCATACTTTATTTAATAAAGTTTTTGAAATACTGAAAAAAGGTGAACCAAAAATCCCAAAATTAGAAAGATATAAATCAGATGATCGTATCTATCATGCAGGTTATGATGGTGATTCAAATGTCGTATTTTCAGAAGATTATTTATCAAGTTTTTTACAATTAACAGATGATGAAGTTTCAAGTTTACAAAAATCTCATAAATTAGTTGTTGATAATTTACCTGAACAAATTCCTAAAACTTTATATAAAGGTAATGGTATTGTTTATGTTGGAGGTGGGAAATTTAATTGGTTAGCTTTATTATCAATTAAATCTCTTAGGTCACTTGGGTCCAAATTACCAATTGAAGTTGTTATCCCAACAATGGAAGAATATGAAATAGATTTATGTGGTCGAATTTTCCCTGCTTTAAATGCTAAATGTATTTTATTAGAACATTCATTAGGTGATGCTGCAATGTCAAAATTTAAATTTAAAGGGTATCAATATAAGGCATTAGCACTTATAGTTTCATCATTTGAAAATGTTTTATTAGTTGATGCAGATAATATCCCAGTTCATGCTCCAGATTATCTTTTCGAAAATGAACCTTTTATAAATACAGGTTTAATTACATGGCCAGATTTTTGGAGAAGAGCAACTTCACCAGATTATTATAAAATTGCAGGAATTAAAATCAATGATAAAAGAGTTAGATTTGGTTATGATGATCGTGATAAAGATTCAAAAGAAGTTCCATTACATGATAGAGAAGGTGCTATACCTGATCCAACTTCTGAATCTGGTCAATTAATGATTTCCAAAACTTCACATACTAAAGAATTATTCTTAGCTTTATATTACAATTTATATGGACCTGATTATTATTATCCATTATTTTCACAAGGTTCAGATGGTGAAGGTGATAAAGAAACATTTTTAGCTGCTACAGTTGCATTAGATTCATCTTACTATCAAGTTAAAAAATTCTTAAATGCATTTGGTCATTTTAATATGGATCATGAATTTATTGGTACAGGTATGGGTCAATATGATCCAGTTGAAGATTATAATTTGGAAAGGGCTAAAGCTAGACAAAAAGAACAATCCAAAGAATTAAATCAAGATTTAGAACCAATAACAAAACAACCAAGAATTTTATTCGTTCATGCAAATTTCCCTAAATTAAATCCAATTTCCCTTAGAGATGAGAAAAAAATATTTGAAAAAAATGGTGATAGATTAAGATTATACGGTCCTGGAATGGCCAAAAGAGTTGGTTATGATTTTGAATTAGTTCAATGGAGAAATATGCATTTCTTAATTTGTGAATTAAAAGTTGAAGTTGAAGTTTTTAAAGGTAATGATAATGTTGAAGTTTGTAAAGAAATTTTAGATCAATTAGAACATTTAGAAGCTACTGTTAAAGATAATGAAAGGGATTAGATTCCTTTTTGTATATTCATGCACATTTAATTTTTGGTTTTATTTTGGTTTTTCTTTGCCTTTTCCTTTGTGATTTTATAGATTTTTTTTGATTTTTAAAAAATATTAGCATCAATTTTTTGATTTTTTTTTTTTGGTTATTTTTTAATGATAAGACACTAAGACTCATTTAAACTTGTTTAATAGTCCAATTTAATAGCATATAAGTTTTGTGATTATAATATAATAAAACTTGTAGTAGTTTATTACACTTTAAAATGTTCTTAATAGTGCGCGAACCATCTCCGAAAAGTACTATACAAAAAAAAATTATACCAATATTTCAAAAATACTATCTTTAAAAGAAACAAATCTACAATATAATCAAAGCTTGCAATCATGAGTAATAAATTATTTGTCAAAGAAGATGAAGACGATGAAGTAGGACCATCACCTTCAATCACCTCTAGCTCACATTCCTACTCAACATATTTCAATAATGAAGAAGATTCACAAGATTTAGATGATCCAATTATAAAAGAAATTCCAGTTATATTAAAACAACCAAATCCAGATCAAAGAATCTTATTATTACAATATCCAGGAAGACCAACAACACGTCCTTTTATTAATGAAAACCGTGTTTGGGAATCAAGGGAAAAAATTAATACAGATGTTATTGAAGTTGATGTACCAATTGATACAACAAGATTTTATGATTCAACAAAAAATGATAATTGGGGGATTGTAGAGAAACAAACTTTGAGAGGTGTTATGAATGAATCAGATGGTTATTATGCTGCAAGTGTTCAAGATGGTGAATTAATTTTAATACCCGTTAAAAAAGTTTCACAAATGAGACCTGCATTTAATTATATTGATAAAGAAGCTGCTGATAAAAAAGAATTAAATAGATTAGAAAATAATGGGAATGGGAATAATCATAATAATAGTGGGGTTCAAGTTGTTCAAATGTCTGTTAAAGGCTCTGCTGATAATGCACCAAGATTAGGTGGTGCTTTATTAGCTAGGAAAAATGCAGATGAAGAAGAATTTGTTCAAGTTCCTTGGAGTGATGTTAATGATGAAGAAACAGTTGAAGTTAGAAATAAAGTATTAACAGTTTATAATAAATCTGAATTGGCTTCAAATACTACAAATGATGATTATATAAATATGTTGGTTCATGATACAATTGTTGAATAATTTCAAAAATAAGAAATATAATGTACATTAATAATAATAATTGAATTTTACAGCTTTATAACTTTGTATTGTTGTATAGTAGCGCTTCCTATTGGTACCTTGTATTTCCTTCATGTTAAAACACTATCCAATTGATCCATATTTTCAAATTGATCTTGTTGACCAACTCTTCTTAAAACTTCTCTTTTAGAACTTTCTTGAATCTCACCAGCAATTAATAATTCATCCAATATATGATAAGCTTTTTGGAAATTGAAAATAATATCTAATTCACAAACATTACCATAAGCTTTATCCATTTGTTCAACATATCTATGAATAATTTCTAATGTTAATAATTCATTTTCATCATTATCTATACCAGCAATGAAAAATAATGAAGCATATCTTCTATAAACAATTTTAGAATCTATTCAGAAACAAGTTAGTAAACCTTCTTTATGATCAACCATTCAATTATACTAACCTTTATATTCTGAAACATTACACATTTTAGCACGACGAGCTAAAACTAAAGCGGTTAACTCTCTCGTTATTTTACTTTTTTCCTTTTGTGATAATGGAATATACCATTTTGATAATCTGACTTTCCCCTGTCTAGATAATAATAATAAATAATTAATACCCATTGTTTTTTGGTTTGTTTAATGATTGTATTAGATTTTACTATTATAGCTATATACAACGTACTCAAAATTCAATATTTTGATTTTGATCTTTAAAAACATCGGTTCGGACACGGATTTCTTACGTATAAAATTAAAATTTAAATACTTCAATATTGAATACAAAAAGAAAGCAAATATATAAACATAAAACAATCTTATAATTGAAATTATCGATACTCTCTTAGCTAAAATATCAAAAAAAATAGAAATTTACCAATGAATAAAGCAAAAAATTAATTCGGCGTTTTTGACCAATACTGGACGAGTCCGGAGTCGAACCGGAGACCTCTCCCATGCTAAGGGAGCGCGCTACCAACTACGCCACACGCCCGAATTTTTATTTTGAAAAATAGCCTGTTTTTGTCGATGTGAATATTTAGCTTATGTAATCAGAAAAATTTTGCTTTAAAATTAAATTTTAAGTAACATAGACAATTATTTTTGGAATTTAAAAGCAGTTATTAATAACTTGAAGGTTTGAAGGCTTCAGGTATATAGGTTTCATGTCTAAAAAGCAACTTAATTCAAATTTTGAACTTTTACGAAATATTTATTTTGAATTTTAAAATAAAAATTTGAAGGTCAATAAACTTTTTGAAATTTGAAAAATTTAGAAAAAATGTTTGAAAAACTTGAATTTTATAATACAGAGGTAAATAATTTAAAGCGAATAATCATATCAAATTACTAAACTCACGAAATATGCTGTTCTAGACATGAAAAAGTTGCTTTTAAATTAATTCTTAAATAGCTGATTATATAAGCATATATACACATATTACATAATTATTATAGACATTTTAGTACAATATAATTTCATGTATGTACGAATTAAATCGATCATGTCTCAGATTAATTCATTATGTTCTTAAAATATAATGGATCGAGACTTGAAAGCGTATATGTTTCAAATTGATTTAACCGAACAGTTAGCTTATCAGCTAGAAGTAGTCTAATAGTATATAAACTTTTAAATTCGTATGATTAATTTGATTATTCCCCTGTCCAAACCATGCAAGGAATGAATTGTATAACTTTAATAAAACTGCACTGGAACTAGAGGGAAAGCTAGTTCTTTATTATATTAATAACGGGGAAGTTTTAATCATAATTTTAGTAGTTCGTAAATTTAAAACTAGGATAAATAAACTTTATCAATAAGTAGTAATACATTTTAGACAGAAGTCCGCAAAGAACCTCAAAGTTTAATATTTAATGTTGTTTAACTGTATTAATTTAATTAGATCAAATTAATTTCGACTACTTCTCGCTTCTAGGTACAAATGAAAACCGCTTAAGTACCCATGTGATAGCTAGCTAGAACCCGATACAACAAATAAACTCACACTCAGGATTCAGGACGTAGGATCAGTAAAAGACTATATCATCAGTATAATTTAAAGCCATATTCATGATTGATAGATTTCAATAAAGTTTGAGGACGTTTCAATTCTGAAACTCTGGGGCCCTTCTTGGGCCCTAACAAGCGAAACTGCACAAGCACTAAAAACATGAAAAAAGTGCCAAAAAGGAGGCTTTTAAATCAGAGAATACAACGTCGTACAGTGTATACTTTGACTCTGGAGTACTTATAAAGTTTGAAGTGGACTGATTGAATGAAATACTCTTGAAACTGGTTAAGGAAAGAAGCAACGTGATCTGAATATCAAAAAGCACTAATTTAAACTCATACGTATATGTATCCCGGTGCTGTCATTCGTAAATTGTAATTCTAAAGCAAAAGAAATATTCTAGAAAGACTATTTTTGGACAAAAGACAGAACTGAAATGGTAATTAATAAAACTATAGTAAATAAAATCCAACTAGTATTGAAAGTTAAAAACTGGTTGTTCGAAGCTAGTTTAAATCATCGCGTTAAGTTCCGTTTAATGCACGAATTTTTAACTTTTTTGCATTTTGACAATTTTATGTACTTAATTTCAAAACAAAAAGTCAAAAAGTCAAAGATTTGAATTCAAGTAAGCTGTTAACCAACATTTACCGCCATCAAGATAAAGATTTAAACTTGGTCAAACAATCTTTGAATCCATTTTTTACGAACCAAAGGTTACCAAGGGTCCTTTTATTTACACATCTGCAATAATCTGTGTTGTTTTGAACTTTGTTTAAGCTTGATTCATTGGATTAGATTCATTTAAATACAGGTCAAGATGTCATTACCAGAGTTGAAATCCATCTTTGATGATAAAGAGTCAAATGCTAAACAACAAGAAGAGTCAAGGCAGCAGCAATTCATGTCTCATTCACCAATATATCGACAAACACAAGCAAATCCATTGCCCTCTTTTGATCAACAACTTCAACAACATCAACAGCATCATCAAAATCAACAACAACAACAGCATCTTCCAGATATATTCAATAACCCTCCTATACAACAGAATCAACAACTATTCATGCAACCTCCTCAAGTATCTCCTCAAAATCCAAATTGGAATCTTAATTCTTTTCAACAAGATGGTCAACAACAACAATTTTTACCACAATTTCAACATCAACATCAAGGTCACCAGTCACAACCGCCACAACAAATGATACCTCAACAACAACAACAGCAACAGCAACAGCATCCGCATCCAATGTATCAGAATAACTTTATGCAACCTCGATTTAGTATTCCAGGCCCACCTGGTTCAGTTTTAGGTCCAGGTCAAACTCCAATTTATCCTCAACACCAACCTCATTTAACACCATATCCACAACAAGATTTTTATCCTCAACCTATTCAAAGAGCTAAAATACCCAAGAGAAGAAGAGCTGTTAAACCAGGATTAAGACGTCGTACAATGACTGCATGTGAATCATGTAGATTAAGGAAAATTAAATGTGATTTAGGTAAACCTATATGTGGTGCTTGTACCAAGAGTGATTTAAATTGTGTTTATAGAAATGTTAAAAAAGAGGCTGAAGAATTAAGTGAACAAATGTCCAAAATTGCTGGATTAGAAAAGCAAAAAAATGAAACACCTCAATGGTCAAGTTGTAATTGGTATACCAAAACTGAAGGTGTATTAAAATGGCCAATATTTGAAGGGAAATATAAAATAAAACCAATTAATACAGTTTTAGCAGAGACTAATGAACATGGATTACCAGATTTAGGTATAATAACAAAAGAACAATTGGGGTTTTTGGATTTACACTTACGATCAAATATTAGAGATTATATTGATAATTATTTACAAAATATTCAAACGAAAAATCCATTCATTGATTCCAAAAAATTACTGAAAACTTCAGAATGGTTGAAACATTGTATCAAAGAAAATCCAGAATTGAGTATTATAAACTTAAAAATCCCTGATGATTTGATTAAATTACCTTTAATTTTATTATGTTGTGCTTCAGCTTCAATAACAAGACCTTTAACATTTACAAATCTTGAAAATTTTAAATCATCAATTGATGAACGTTTTGAAAAATTTGAAATATCTTATCAAATTTTCATGCTTTCAGAATATTTTCAAGTATCACCAAGATCCAAGATTTCACTAGGTGATTTAGATCTTGTTCAATATAATTTATTAAAAGCAACTTATATGATGTATTTAATTAAACCATGGGAAGCTTGGAAATATATTTTTGAAGCATCAACAATATTAATGACCATTTTAGAGAGTTATAAAGATAATGGTCGGAAATTTGAAGATTCTCAATTAAGAATCGTGGAAAGAGTTTTCCATACTTGTGTTAAATATGAAAGTGAATTACGTGTTGAATTATCACCTTCAGTTCCAGCATCTGGGATTGTTAATTATCCATTCCCAAGTGTTTATCCATCACCTCCTTTAGATTCTATTAATAGTGTTAATGAAGAATCAAGTTGGTTTTATTATTTAACAGAAATTGTTTTAAGGAAATTTGAAAATAAATTATTAGATGATTTTTTCATACCAATTGGTAAAGCTGGGAATTCAGATAATAAAGGTGAATTTCATGAAGATAATTATGATTTAAATTGGGATTCAAAATATGATATCGAATCAATAATTCAAAAATCTTTAGATTATTTAAAAGATTTAGAAAAAGTTGAAAATAGTATGATTACACATTTAAATTCAATTTTAAAAGAAGATGTTACATCAAATTCTTTACAACCTCATGGTTTCCTTTTCAAAACTGGCTCATCAATAAATCCATCATCAGAAACAGAATCTCAAGCAACACCACCAACAACATCTGAAACTTCAACAAATAAAATATCACCTGCAAATTTACCTCATCAAGATTCAGGTACAACAATAACAACACAAGAATCAACTTCACCAGTACCATTAACACCATCATCAACAACAAGTTATTCATCATCAGATATATCACAAAAATTTGAAAAAATTATACCAAATGTTCCAGAAACAATATCATTTATTAAAACAAGAATGATTGTACTGAAAATATTATTATTTAGACCTTTAGCATATTTATTAATCCATGATAAGAGTCATGTTTATGATTCTCATCCATTTGTGGAACAAGTCCTTATTCAATCGTTTGAAAATATGGATGCTTTAAATGTTCCATTAGCAGTTCATAGACATTTTGGATCATGGTTTTATACAAGAAATACATTTCTTTCAGGGATTTTAATATTTGCATTATTTAAAAGATTTGGTGAGAAATATGTGAATAAATCTAAAATCAAGAAATTTATGGGTGATGTTTTACAAATTCTTGATTATTGGATTGATGAAGAACCTGATTTACAAGATCCTAAAAAAGTTATATTAGGAATGTTGGAAGAATTAGAGACTTTATAAAAGCCACAACAAACTATCAAACAATACAAAAAACTTTAACGAAATATACGACAATTTGAATATCAAAAAATCAACAAGAAATTGGATTCAGCTTCTGTAGTTTTTATCAGAGATCTTAAGATTATGATCTTTCACTATGTAAGAAATGTGTCACGAACGAAAAGTTTATGAATGTTGGAAAAAAAGGTAAACAGAAATAAAAATTCCATTACAATAAACAAAGAGATCAGATCAAGAACACCAGAAGCCTAAGACCCATGACGTCCACACCAGAGACAAACAGGGTCAGAAGACTAGATCTTATATCAGAATCACCGCTGAGTAACACATCTTCACCGGATCGTTCTTTTTGTCAGGTTAAATATAAGGATTATGAAAGCGCTATAGATGCTATTCAACAATTAGAAGCTGAATTGAATGAGTTTCAAACATCAAGTTATGAATTAGAAAAGGAATTGGAAAAAGAGTTGACGGCGCTAGAATTGGATAATGAAGAGTTGAAGATTAAGAATGAAGAAATACAAGATCAGTTGAATGAAATTCAAAGAGAAAAAATTGATAAAGAAAAAGAATTTAATAAGATAAGGACTGAATTACAAAATAAGATTGTTAAATTAGAGAAAGATTTAGAAATAAAGAATTCAAAGATTGTTGATATTGAAATACTGAATGATAATATTGAACAAAATGAAAGAAATTTAAACCTTAGTTATAAAGAATTAGAAGAAAATTATAATTCATCAGTTGAAAAAATCATTTTATTAGAACAAGAAATTAATGACTCTAAAAATCAATTAATGATGGAAAAACTAAATCATCAAAATACAAAAATTGAATTAAATGAATTCAAGACTAAATTTGAAGCTTTAGAAAGAAGATCAACCACTAAATCAAGATCTTTATCTAATCCAATAAATCCATCATCGTCAACATCATCAACAACATCATCAATACCATTATCTAATAGTAAAATGACAAAATCAAATTCAATAAGACAATTACATTCAATGATTGAACAATCCAAAGGAATGGAATCACGTATTGGTAATATTAAAACTTCATTAAATACTAAATCATTAAAATTACATCGTGAACCAAAATCTTCAACTACAACAAAATTAACAAATGCCACAATAACAACATCAACTCCATCTTCATCACAAGTCAAACCTAAGAGGAAAATACCTCTTTCACCATCTTCATTCAAACTAAGCTCATTTGCTGGCTCTTCATTCAATAAGATGGAAAAAATTGAAGGATCACCTGCTAAACCTGCAAAAGATTTTAACAAGATATTTGGTAATGAATTAAAACAAGAGAAATAGATATAGAATTAAAATAATGTTGATCTATATTTTGTTATGTATCATGATATTTATATTTTTATATATATAAGAATATTATAAAAGGAGGGATTGTCATATTGTCATTATTTTATCCAATTTTTGAACAACATTATACAATCATATGCAAATAATTGACTCCATCTTTCTTGATATTTAAACCAAGCTTTAAAATAAGAAATCCATTTCTTGAAAAAACCATTTCTTTTAGCCAATTCACGTTCTTCATTATAAGTTGTTTTAGCACAATATTGAGATAAAATTAAAAAAGTTCTTTCAGGTCCTAAAGGATTTTGTAAAGTTTCATCAAGATGTCTTGTTAAATCATTTGTTTTCAAAATTAATAAAACAACTCTTGGAATTTTTGATAAAATTTTCATTAATTCAGTTAACATTTCACCACCAGAAAGTGCACTCTTCATATTATCAATTTCTTGAGGAGATCTAATTTTAGTTATATCATAATTCAAAGCAGTATTAATATCTCTACCAGTTATTGCAGCAGCAAATAATGGGAATTGTTCTTCATTAATACCAGCAAATTTTGCAGCATATTTCTTCATTTTTTCATGATCTTTATCTAATAAAGCTAACCAAAAATGTGCATAATCTCTTCTCATTTGAGTTGAAACATCTCTATAAAGTCCATGATCATAAAGAATAATTTCAAAATTATGAGTATTATCAGGATTAGAATCATTTTGTGGTTTTGGTCTAATTGCTAAATTCCCTCCATGAGGATCACAATGAACACCAACACCTGGTGTAAAAATCATGTTATTGAAAATATGAGATAAACATGATGAAACTTCAGAACGTGAAATATTATTTTTTTCCATAAATTTTATATCATCTAATCTTGAACCACCAATAAATTCCATAATTAAAATTCTATTTGTTGAAGAAATAATTTTAGGGATTCTTAATGCAGTTTCACTTTGGAAATTTTCAAAATATTCAGATGATTTAATTGCATTTTCAGCTTCTTTATTAAAATTTAATTCAACATAAATAGAAGATTGTAATTCTTCACCTAACCAAACCAATGGATAATCAGGGAAAACTTTATCCAAAGCTTTGAAAACACTTTGAGTTAAATAGATATCTAATGGAACAAATTGTTTTAATGAAGGATGTTGACATTTAACTGCAACTTTTTCACCTGTAGCTTTCAAAGTACCAATATGAACTTGAGCTAAAGAAGCAACACCAATTGGAGTTTTATCAAAATCTGAAAAAATTTCATCAATTGATTTATTCAAATCTTTTTCAAATAATTCATTAATTTCTTCAAAAGTTGATTCAGGACATTTATCTTGTAATGGAATCATAGTATCAGTCCATTCTTTTGGTAATAAATAAGTCATAGCACTAATATGTTGACCTAATTTAATATAAATCCCACCATTTCTTTCAAGTGCCTTCAATGTAATTTTAGCACATTTTAAATGACATTTTGATAATTCATCATAATATTTAATTTTATCATCTGATGATGTATTAAGAACTTTATTATAATGATAAAAACATTGTAAAGTAGCCCAAGTAACCACTGAAACTCTACCAGCTGTTAAATAAGTATGTTTCACTCCATCATGGAATGTATCATTTGTGAAAAATCCTAAAGTTCCTGCACCTAATATACCTAAAGTGATATATTTCTTAACATTATGTCTAAAAGCCCATGAATCCGATGATGATGAATTTTTGGGTATTTTTTGAGTTAAAGATCTTTTAGTGGAATTTAAAATTGGTGATCTTATACTAGATCTTATTATCCTAGGTGAACTCCTAGTTATGAATATGCTCATTTCTGTAGCAAAATAATGACTAGATCCTCCTACTTAATCGGGTCTTTTTTCCACTTGATTCTGTTTGAGTATAAAAGCAATTTGTACTTTTCTTCGTTTATAAAATCGCGAATTTTTGAATTTTATTACTGAGAAAAGACCCAATTTGATACAGAAGAATGGATTTGAAGAGTAGGAAAGCAAAGGAATACACAGTGATCGAGCCAATCAATAATAATCCATATATACAACCATTAAATACCCCAATCCACCTCGTTTCCCTTGTGAATTCCCCTTCAAAATTCCCTTTTAAAAATTAATATGTCAAAATGTCAAGATCAAATATTCGCGAAACAGTTAAAAAAAATGGCGTGCGCGTTTTTAAATTACATGCGCTTGAATTTTTCTGAGCTTTTTACGAAATAAGGAAACTTTAGAAAACGGTTCTAAGTGGAAACTTGAAAGAGTATATACAACGAGAGTAAACTAGGCTTTTCAACATTTGCTAGTGTTTATTATTGCTACTCAATTGCTTTATACTAGAGAGAATAGCTTCTTAAAGAGATGCTTTTGTTGAAGAAGTTCACACCGCGGGTTGATTCACGGTTGCAGCAAAGGGTATACGCGTTCCAAGATTTAGAATCTTCAGAATCAGAATCAGAAGTTGAAATTGAGGATGATAAAGACCATCATGAACCAGATGTAATAGAGGAAAAGGAAGAAAAACTTCATGTTCAAGGAAATAGAATTTCTAATGAACAATTACGTCAATATTTTACTTCAAAAAATAGTAATGAAATAATCAAGAATTTACCAAAAGAATCAAATTCAATCAAAAGTCAACCTCAACAACAACAACAACCCCAGACGAATGGGAAATTAGAAAAACAACAATTAGATTTGAAGAAAATCGAATATAGGAAAAAAATTGATATCGTTTGGAATTCAATCATTTCAAAATATAGTGCATATGATGAAGATGACCAGGGTGATTTAATTAATTTAGAAGATTTCAGTATAGAAGAAGATAAAGGTCATATCAAACAATTACAAAATTTCCAAAGAACTACGATATGGAATGATATTAATGATTTAGAAAATGGTAATTCAAATTCAAAACATGAAGATTTTAGAAAAGATTTCGATCCAAGCCAAGATCCAATCAATTTATTAAATAGTAATAATTCTTCAAGATGTTCAACTCCTTCACAATTAGATTTATTGAATAATGTTAACCAAAACAATAAATCAATTCCACAATCTCGTGTTAAAACACCTACAACAATGAAATCAAACCATATAAATTCATTGAATAGTGATGTCAAAGATCCAATTACATTATTAACACCAAAACCTTCAACAAGACCAACTAGAATAACATCACCAAGAAGAAGAGCCTTATTGAATAAATCTTTCTCAAAACAAAGAAATAAACCTGAACATGTCGATCTTACAAATGATCCAATATCAATGTTGACACCAACAAAACCATCAAGAATTTCAACAAGAATTTCAACAAGAAGAACTTCACCAAAGAGATCATCAATTATTAATAGTAATGAAATTCCAAACGAACCATCATCACCAATGAGATTTATGACTCCATCATCACCTGTATTCAATCAAAATCATCATCAAAATGGTATGAATGAAGTTAGATATAATGAAAATTCAGATTCAGAAGATGATGAACAAACTCTCAATGAAACCCCTGATACAAATCATGATCCAATTTCTTTATTATCTAAACCAAAGACAAGATCTTATCCATCTGTATATTCAAGAATTGATACATCACCATTAAGATCAAGAGTTGAACCATTAACAAGACAACCATCAAGAGGTCGTACTTTGAAAAGATCAAGTTATGAAGGATATACTCGTCAATCATCACCATTAAGACAAATTGAAGAAGATGAAGAAACTATAGAGTTTAAAATTCCTAAAATTACACCTTCCAAAAGAAATAATCGTGTATTAAACCATTCCAAACAACAACCAAATACTCCATTATCATCATTAAGAAACCATTCAAATCATAAAAACTTGGATTTTGCTAATGATCCAATATGTTTATTAACTCCTAAATCAATGACACGTCGTAATTCAAGAATACCAACAAGATCATCTTCACCAAATTCTCTTCATAAGAGACAAAAAATTGATCAAAATGATGATCCAATAGTACTATTAACACCAAGATCAAGTTCCAAGAGATCAAGATCTATAAAACCTCAAATAAATTCCAAACCACCACCAAAATTCAATATAAATTCTACTCCATCAACAAATTTACATCCATATTATCAACCACCGCCACCACCACCACCACAACAACAACAACAACAAAGTAATCCATTTTATCAACCACACCAACCACCATATTTACCATATAACATGCCAATGAATCCATATTCAATGATGAGTACACCAATGACATCAAGAGATCAAACACCAGGTCCTCAACATCAATCTCAACGTCCAAGACATACAAAACCTATGAAACATCAACATCAAAATCATAAAAAAAATCCAATAAATTCAATTCCAAATACTCCATTAAAATCATCTTTTAAATCAAGACCTAATACTGAAGCTCCAACACCAAATCCATTACAATATTCATATCCAAATCCTTATCAATTTCCTCAACCTAATGTTCCACATCAACAAATGCCACAACATATGCCTCAACAAATGCCACCAATGATGATGAATCCTTATATGAATCCATATATGTTTATGCCATATATGCCAATGATGCCAATGTATCCACCAGGTTCTGCTCCTCAAGGTTATCATGAACAACAATCTCAACATCCTCTTTTAAAACATTCAGATGATTATGATGAAGATGAAGAAGATGATGAAGATGAAGATAATGGTGAAGATTATGAAATGATTTCAGATATACAATTTTATAGAGATTAAAAGAAAAGTTTAAATATGATTTAATAAATATGTATTATATACAAAATGATTTATATAATGTTTATAAATATGTAGATATGTGAGACAAGACATGGACTTTGTTTACTCAGGAACAGGAGGTGAATGAACAGGTAAATCTTCACCTTTTTTAGCATTTCTTAAAGAAAGATAACTATTCCAAAAAATAGAAAGGATATTAACAGCCATTAACTGATGTTGAACAGGAATTATACTTAAATTAAAAATTTGAAAAATTGGCCAAATCATCCAATTAACTTTTAAAGTTGGTAACCAATTTTCTTTTAATTTAATTTGAACTTCTTCAAATTTCTTATTTTCTAATAATGTCATTATAGAATAATATAATGGTATACCTAAAGGTGCAAAACCTAATTGATCAATTGAAGTTTTAGTAATACCATTCCTTATCATATTTAATCTTGGATTTGCTAAAGGTTGACCAGGAAATTTAATTTTAGAAAGAATTTTATACCATTTATCACCAATGAATGCAAAGACCACTGAACCATAAAAAGCAGCTCTTAAAGTTCTTTTATAATCATAATCATCACCTGGTGAAATGAATTGGGCAAGTACATCACCTGTACCAAATAAAAACCCAGTTGTTAAAGAATTTGTTATTCTTGGATGTTTTTTCAATGAAGTTGTATAAAATGCAAGTAATGACATGGTGTTTTGTAGTTCTTTTCTCTATGAAGTCTATGGTTTATTTGTTTGAACTAAAAGGATGAATGATCTGTTTAAATATGATCTTGATTGAATTATACTCGTTGCTCGTTGCTATCAAAGATATGAAGATCTAGCAAAAATTAATAGTTGTTCGGCTATCTAAATTAAAAAAAAAAGGCTGACGGGTAAATAAAACGGCTGAATAAAATATTAGAAATTTCGCGTTGCCTTATATAAAGACCAGGATTTCAATTTACTACGTGATTTAATGCTTTGATATGGAAGAAGAGTATGACGTTCCTGATATTATGAAGAAATGGTTGTTATTGTGATCTGATGAAGGTGACTGGATCATTTTGGTTCTGTTCATAGCTTTATTTTAGTCTACAACATGACTAATCATATTGACTTTATAGTACATAGTTCATACTACATAGTAATCAATTCAGCAGATACGAGAATTGTTCAACTACAATTAAGATAACCCATTATACTTTCATGATGATCATTGTATCAAAATCTTGATTAAGAGAAAATCCATTTACTCATTTCTCATTCAATTTCATTTCGTTCAATTTCATTCAATTTCCTAATATAGAAGGTCAACCAAATTATCATAAACAATTCAAAACAGGTAGTTTTACTCGGCATTCCGGATTCCTAGTACAAGACAAACTCGTTGACTCCTGTCTTATCCATGATCATTGTCTAGAATTGAATGATGATGATGATTATATTCATAGTCCTTTCGAGCCTTGAACAGAGGGTTAAATACCTGTTAAAGCTTCCTTAAATAATATTAAAATCCATTCAACCTGTAATTTTGAAAAGTGGTGCAAGACTTATTGTTAAGCGTTTAGGCTCCACTACTAAAGTTTAAAGTGTAAAATGGTTAGTAATAGGTGAATTCAAACTCACTAGACGATGATCAATTTACTGTTTAATTCTTTGTAGATACTTCGGAAGTTGGATGTTGAATGAGATGGAATTCGTTTAGATCACCCCTGTCAAAGAAAATAATCCGTAGTTCAAAACCCAACAAACATGAAAGGGAAATCAGAGCCTAACTCAACTAAATACAAATCCTTCAAACCGGGAACCAAATTGGAACCAAATTGGAACTAAATCTTGTCGTTAAATGATCTCTACGGCCTTCAACTTTATTTTATTTCCATTGTCACTTTTTCAGTTTTTCATTTGTGGAGCAATGATGATTGTACAAAAAAAATGACAAGGTACAAGAATTGATCAACACAAAACTGGAGTTTAGTATAAGCTGAGTTATTTAATTGTATCATTCTGAATCTTGTCAATCTAGAAACAGGTTACTCCACATACAATTGTTATACTTGACAGTTGTATATATAAACAAGAATTCCTTTTATCTTCAGTTCATCAATCTATTACATCAACAACTAGATAGTTAGACTACATACAATTCACAATGTCAACACAATACTCTAATGGTCAAGATTTAGAAAAACAATTATCAAATTCAGATAATTTTAATTTAGATAATCAAACAACAAATTATGAACATGATACAGAAGTTTCAAGAGTTCAACCAGCAGGTAATAATAATGAATATATAATGATTGGACGTACAAAAGTTTTGAAATCAGAATTACAAGAAGCTTTTGGTGGTACTTTTAGTGCAGGTGTTTCAGCTCCTTCAGTTCATAAATTTGCAAATCCTGCTCCTTTAGGTTTATGTGGTTTCGCTTTAACTACTTTTGTCTTATCAATGTTTAATGCTCAAGCTATGGGGATTACAACTCCAAATGTTGTTGTTGGTTCTGCATTTTTCTATGGTGGTCTTTGTCAATTATTAGCTGGTATGTGGGAAATCGCCCTAGAGAATACATTTGGTGGTACTGCATTAAGTTCTTATGGTGGATTTTGGTTAAGTTTTGGTGCTATTCATATCCCATGGTTTGGTATTAAAGATGCTTATGATGATCCTATTGAATTAAGAAATGCTATAAGTTTTTTCCTTTTAGGTTGGACAATTTTCACATTTATGTTATTATTATGTACTTTAAAATCTACAGTGGCATTTTTTTCATTATTCTTCTTTTTGGAAATTACATTCTTGTTGTTAACAATTGGTGATTTTACTGGTAAAACTGGTGTTTCAAGAGCTGGTGGTGTATTTGGTGTTATTACGGCATTTATAGCTTGGTATAATGCACTTGCTGGTATTGCAACCAATGAAAATTCTTATTTTACAATCAAAGGTGTTCCAATGCCAAAACCAAAAGGTCAAAGATTATAGATAACATGTTAAACTAGTTATTATATATACTTTCAATTGATTATAGCTTTTATGATGATTTATTTATGAAACAAATGATCCACTGGTTTGGATTCTTATTTATTCTATTTATTTATTTTTAATTAATAACCATTGGCTTATGAATCTTCTAATTGTAGAATGAACTTTGAAGTGCTATACCTATATACATATGGATCAAGGAGTAGGACCCTTGATACATCATATCAATAACATCTTCAGATAAGATCCTTTTCAGCCGTACAAACCCTTAATCAATTCGATCAATTACGTACATATCTCAAATATTCGTAAGCGTACTGAATCCTGATTATAAGCGGTAATTCATCGGCCTCTAAAGACGTCAATGTGGTGATGTGGTGATGAATGATGATCTAAAATTTGTGGAGAAGCCAACAAAAATCTCGGGATAATGATCATCAACATGTCAATTCATGTCAGCTTAAAAGCGTTATAATGAGTCTAGTACAATTAAAACCATAAGTAAGAGAGTGATATAATGTGTAGTTAATGATAGATATATAAAACAAAAGGATTGTGAACTTGTAAAGATCAAAAAAAGAATATTCATTCCTTATAGTATTCATTTTGAAATAGTGTATGCTTTGAAAAAAATTGGTAGAGACAACAAAAAAAGAATGCGATTTCTGTGGATTGAACACAGGACCTTTAGATCTTCAGTCTAACGCTCTCCCGACTGAGCTAAAACCGCTCTTCTTGAAATTTGGTGTTTGGATGGTGATCCCGGTTATGTAAAATTTGAGTGGTTGCTTAGTCAGCCGATTTTGATAATATTCAACTAATTTAATGTGTTATGGTGTAATTATTGAAGATTGTTGATGTTTAGTGATATTTAGGTGATTTATAAATGTAGTTGAAGCTATTTTGAAAAAAATTGGAGTGTTCTGTACTGTGTTGTTCAAGTACAATGTGCTCCGAAATGGACTTTGGTAAACGGATCTTTAACTTCATGAAGCTACAAATTGAAGTTCAAGGATCGGTATATTAAGAAGTTGGCATAATAGAAGGTCTATATGTACATATATATAACAGCATTACTTATTAACCTTATTCATAATTCCTCTTTATAGCCTCAAAAATTTGTTTTATATCATTCGGTGTTGTTCTACAACAACCACCAATAATTTTTACATTTTTTAATTTTTGTAATTCTTGAACATATTCATTCCAAGTTAGTGTCCCATTTGGGTGATTATTCCATTTTTTATTAACTGCATCATAAACTTCACCAGAATTTGGATATACTATTAAATCTTTCCCTAAGATTTGTAATTCATTTAACCAGGTTAATGATTCTTTCAATGGAAGACAATTCACACCGATTGCTAATAATTTTGGATTTCCATCAACAAGTTCTTTTAATGATTCAACTTTAGTTCCATCTGCTAATGTATCACCATTTATACTTAAACTTAAATAGTAATCTTTATCGTATCCTTGCATTAATTCAATTAATATTTTAATTTCATTTATATTTGGCATCGTTTCTAATCCGATTAAATCAACTCTATTATCTTTACAAAGCATCTCTAATCTTTCTTTATGAAATTCAACAAGGTTGGAACTTTTAATATCACCATAATCACCAGTATATTCAGCACCATTTGCTAAAGATGCACCATAAGGACCAATACTACCAACGATCCAAACATCTTTACGATCACCTCTTGCTTGATCAGCCAAATCAATACTTTTCAGCAATACTTGTTCATAATCAATATTAAATTCTGTTTGGAGTGAAGGATGATCACTTGATTGATAAGTTGAAGTTTGTATTAATTGAGCACCATTTTCAATATATTGTTGATGAATGTTTTGTATTATACTTGGTGATGTGATGACTGTATGTGTTGACCAAAGAGAATGTGATTGAGCTTCTTCAGGAAGCAGTGTACCAAGAGCACCATCTAGCACGATTGGAACCTTGGATGATAGTCTTGATTTGAGTGACATGTGTACTACTTTGCAATCGTGTGTGTGTAAATTGTTTGCTGAAGATGTCAAAAATTAAATTTTCATAGCTCCGAAAGTGTCAAATTAATATCAGACATTCTTACCTTGATCTGAACTCAATTGATCAGCTTAGGGAAGATCTTGATCATACTGAGTGGTACAATTAGGCTTGTTCTATGTTGCTGATCTGCTGATGTGATGATTTGAGTCTTTGGAGATCTTAAAAATCCTTCAGAAAACTAGGCGAGATTGTTATTATTGATCTGATTATGTACTGGAAAAGGCGTGGAAAAGATCGACAATTCATTTTATAATTTGCCTTCAAAAGGTTCAAATGAGACCCTGAAAGTTATTTAAATAGAGATGGGTATCCATTGAATTCAATTGTTATCATCAACTTCAAAGCATCAGATATCACATTCGCAATGGCAGGATCAACATTAAACTTGAGTGATGAAGAACTACGTAAGCTTCTTGAAGATATCTCACAAGAGATCAGAGATGATGATTCCAAAGATACAACAGCACCAGATGATAAAAGACCAAAAAAACATCAAAACCCACCAGCTATTTTACCTCTAGTCGTTGATTGTGCTAATTATAGTCGTTTAGCTTATGGTATTCCAACATTACCAGAAAAATTCAAAGACGTGTCATTAGATTTATTAAGGAAACCAACAAATGATCATATTGAAGATGACAAATTGAAAGAATTGGAATTGTTTAATCAATCATTGGCTTACTACAAAGAACGCCTTTCTGAATTGTCAGATAAGGTTGATATCTTGAAATCTTTCAAAGTTGATGATCAAGGCGGTACTTCATATATAGCTGTTGATCATGATAAAAAATATTTAATTGTTGCCTTTAAGGGGACAAAGACAAAAGATGAATGGCTCAAAACAAATTTCAGTATCAGAGGTATTAAATACAAACCATTGAACCCATGGGGTAAATCTAATGAAAACTTGAAAGATGTGGATGTTCATGAAGGATTTTATACAGCTATTAAAAACTTGATTGAAGATTATGACATTTTCAAAACGGTTCAAAAGTATATTGATGAATACAAAGACTACAAGTTAATCATCACAGGTCATTCACTTGGTGGTGCTTTAGCTGCTTTATTTGGTATTGAAGCACAAGTCTTAGGCTGGAATCCATTAATCATCACATTAGCCGCTCCAAAAATTGCTTATGTTGATCGTCCAGGTTTAGATATCTTAACTTCAGGTCCTTCATTCCCTGAAAAGATTGAAAAATTATTTGATATAACTGTGGACAAAGTTACGCAAACTTATCTTGATTTAAAAGGATTGATTAAATCTGATTATGGTACTTTTATTAACATTGAACATATTGGTGATATTGTTCCTTTGGTTCCATTAGCACCTTATGAAAGATTAGGTGGTATTCCATATCTTTTAAGATCTACAGGACCTATTGAAATCAATAAATTCTTACCACAAGCTTTAGAAATTGATGCAAATGAAGATTTAACAGATATTAAAGATAATGAAAATTATGCAAGAAGAACTTATAAAGATCAAAAATGGATCAATGATAAATTAAGCAAAGAAAAATTATTTTATAATACAACTGTGGCTATAATCAAAGAAAACTTAACCATATTTGACTCACCACAAACTACATTTATCCAAAAATTAGCACAACTCTTAGAATTTGGTGATATTTTTGATAAGTTAGTTGAGATTCATTGTTTTTATACCCTTTATGATCTTTCTTTAGATGGGAATGCCATTGAAGATTTTGTTGAAGGAAAACAATGAGAATATAATATATAAGGAGATTTAGCTATATAATATTAATTTATGTGATTTATTGGGATAACTTTGTACATAATTGATCTTGTTCGAGTCCATCTTTATCCGTATCTTTATAATATGCGCGATCTTGAATTTTTGTAAGGAACTTCATCGGAAAAATAAACATACTCGCTTCCCATTTATAAGTCAACAATAAGCAATTGTCAACACAGAGACAAATCATCAAGTTATGCTCTATGGTCAGAATTAAAAATGTCATTGTCATCAATACTTCGCCAATTGATTGTTATTGGTTGAAAATCAATGGTTTCCAGCTGTTTTAGTTTTGGTGTTCTACGCGTTCAGGAAAATTGTAATAAAGTATTATTGTTCATTGATTAAATCTATTAAGAAAAGAAAGAATCTATTAAACAGCAGCTTGATCACCTTGAATTATAAAAAAGACCAGCACATTATAAAGAAAAGAAAATTAGCAGCAATGTTTGAAGTTGAAATATCACCACCTAAAAGATTTTTGGAATACATATTATAGCAGCAAAAAAATTGTGTATCATTTTTTGAAGAATAAATCAGCATCTAAGCAATGGTACAAGTAAACCAAAATTGACCAGCATAGATAAAGTTATCTTGGTTGTCGTTGTTTTCTTTTGGAGCAGCAGTGGAAGTAACAGTTGATGGTTGCATTTTTAATAGTATTGATTGAATTGATTGATTGTTTGATAATGGTTTCAATTTAAGAGATTTACATTAAAGATCAGCAAGATCAAGTGCTTTTATACACATATTTCATCTTGATTGTTTATGAGGCTTGATGTTTATTTGATTCATTATTGCATTGTTAAGTTTGTTATACAAGTTTTGAGTTGTTCATGTTATTTCCTAATCGGGATGACACAAAAGAATTCTTACCGGAAAATAATCTTTCGAAATTTTTATTCTATGCATATTATCACTTTAGATCTTGGAAATTTCTTTTCAAATTGGTTTAGATTCTATTGTTATGTTTGTTTTGGGTATAGCTGAGTATAGATCACCATGAAATGTTAGTTGAATTAACTGCAAGATCTGGTTTTGGGGATATGATATTCAATGTTTAATCTCACTTATAGGTTCATTATAATGCATGAGTGATTACCACCACTCTCAATTTTCTAATCTATACAAAAAGTGTTCTCTTTTGAGTTGAATTTCAGATTTTGTGGTTCATTAATTCATTTTTGACTTGGGGTTGAATTTTAGGTCAATTGCAATTTACGAGTATTTTATTGCTAATCCAGCTTGGTCTCTTTTTTTTTAATAGATTGCATGAGGAACAAGATGAGTATAGCATCCTGGTGATTGGATCTTTGGTGAAAGATTTTCAAAATTTATTTGGAGATCACTCGTATAATCAAGATTCGTTACTTTCCCTACTTCAGGTCACAGATCTTTAGACTGCACGATTATGTTACTTTGGACCTTGAAGATACGTTGTGATATTTAATTAAGTCATTGGTGAATCAGTCAATGATAAGTATTCAAAGCAACTGGTACTTACGCTTCATATATCGAATCATGATTAATCAAGAGATTTTCACTAAAAGTACCAGAGGTATTTTGATGGAATTACAATTAATTAAAACTACAAAAATGATTAATCGGTTAAAGATATATTTGTATTGAAAACCAGGTATTATAAAGTATTAAATAAATTAAACATTAACAACCACATCTAATTGAAGTCAAAAAATTAATGTGAATGGATTTTAACAAGATCTGAAGAGAATATAATAAATTTGTGAATTTGGAATTAAACCTGAAAAGTGATAAGCATCAGAAGTATCAAACCAACACCTTAAGCAATGGTACAAGTGAACCAAAATTGACCAGCATAGATAAAGTTATCTTGGTTGTCGTTGTTTTCTTTTGGAGCAGCAGTGGAAGTAACAGTTGATGGTTGCATTTTTGATAATATTAAGTATTTGTTGTTAATCTTGATGATAATGAAGAAAAGAAAAGAGAATGAAACAAATTTGAAGCAGATTTGATACCTATTTATACAACTTTTGAAGATCTTTAGATCTTGAGGCCATCATTAAGATCTTACACTTTGGAGCTTGATGCTAGATTTGATCAAATTCTGTAATTTCCTTATTGGGATGACACAAAAGAATGAAGTTACTGAAAAATCAAGATACATATCCCGAAACTAGTTATTTCATGCAAGTTGAAAACCCGAAAGATTCTTTGGGTAATGTGTGGAAAGATCTTGGAAACTTTTGGGTAAATTAAATGCATTTCATCATTTATATTGGTTAAGAAAGGAAATTTTCAACGTTAAATGAAACAAATTATAACAAAGTATACATTGCCAAGTATGAATTATTGAACCTCAATAACTGGTTATGAGGCCATTATTAATGTTGATATTGGTTGCTTTTGCTACAGATACGAGTTCATGGAAATCTTTTATGGTTTACTTCAGGGATTCTGCGAATTGAAGTTAGAGAAGATCTGGGATCTAAGATATGGGATCGTCAATTATCTATAGTACTTCAAAATACAGATTATTGGAGAGAATATCTAAATGGAATTTGGGTTGCAGGTGCAAATCATTAACCATTGTGTTGGTATTGGGAAAAACATTCAAGCTAAGGAAAAATCATACTTTGATCTTCAAACAGTGACTTTCAATGGCGTATGAGAAAGATATAAAGGTCGACTCGTCATTTAATCATGATTATGTATCAATTTGATTAATATTTGAAAGCCAAATCTACAAATCATTTCTAGTGAATTAAGGTATTAAGGTATATATTAAATGTAAATCTAAATTAAAAACCATTTGAAATCAAAAACTCCAAACAATAAGGCATATAAAGTATTAAAAGCAATAGCATCATTATTAATATTATCAAAAAATATGATAGTGATCAAAATCAGCAAAAAAGAATTGTAAATGAATCTTGGTAGAATTGGTAAAAAGGTTGTAAATTGATTGAAGAATATTTCAAAAGCACTTAAAATTGAAAAACCATATGGACTTCATGTTTCTGAAATTAAGCGATAGTACAAGTAAACCAAAATTGACCAGCATAGATAAAGTTATCTTGATTGTCGTTGTTTTCTTTTGGAGCAGCAGTGGAAGTAACAGTTGATGGTTGCATTGTTGATGTAAATATAAGTAAGGGTTTTGATTGTTTGATAATCTATTGATACTGGAACTACAAAAAGAAAAGGTTGAATTAAATTGGTTTCACTTGAATATATATACTTATTTTAAATTTGAGGTTGATTCTTTTTTGTTGCAATGAATTGATTAATGATTATAATTTTTCATTTTAATTACTTGGTAGTATTAGTTTTGATGCATCTTTGTAATTTCCTAATTGGGATGACACAATAAGATTTCGGATCAAAAAAATATTTTGATCAAGAATTTTTTATGGCAAACAGAAAGTACATGCAATAGTCATCTTTGGGAAGGTAAGTGTAAAGATTGGGAAAGGTATTTATTTGAATTGGGTTATATCGAGCTGTACTATGGACTGGATCTGAGATTATACATAGTTTTGAGGCAAAATCATGTTTTATAATGTTGATTAAGGTTGTATAACTAATGAAAATTACGAAGTTGAGGAAACAATTAATGGGTTTACGGTCAGATTATTGAAATATGAGGGGATTTATAGATATACATCTGGTCCTTCATAATTATACCCAAATGGGAAAGTTTTAAAATTATCAATTGATCTTTATAATTGCCTCAAATTTAGTTGTCCATGTACAACTTTTGGATTGAAATGACATATACTGTTGTGTTCTAACAGATTTGGCTTGATCATTATTGTATATAATACATGTTTTTGGATTGAACATAGGTTGGTGCTGCTCAAGATATAGCTAAATACTTATCCGTAACTGGTTCAAATCTTATTGAGTTTCTAACGTGGTGTCTATTAGTTTCAAAAAGAAGTAATACATGTGGCCAGTATGTTGGTATAAGTTTCTCATGTGAACTGATGGTATTCAACCTAATTGCTGGTTATGACGTGTTGAATTCCATTATAGTAATCAGATATATAGTATATATATTATATAGGAGTTAAAAAAATTGGTTTCATTAACATTAGCTAATACTCTCACCGAGTAACTATTGTTAGGCGAATGAAGGTAACTGAAATCACAACTATAATTAAGAATTCTATGGCATAATCAATTGCTTGATAAGCTTCCAATTCACCCTTGATCCATGATATTGTTAAGATAGACTAGCTAATACAACTAATATTTAACCAGAATCAAAGACGTTTAAGGTTCACATTGACTTGAAAAGTAACCTATACATATAGTAGCTTTATTTTATGACTTAAGGTGTATTCTGCAATCATTGTTTGTGCTTTCATATAGTCATGATATCATTGGTTTGGTCAATTTTCGTCTGTCATGATTAAAGTGCATTCATTCATAATATATAGCGGAGGTCAACTTTTCCTTGTAAATCCGAAGCTAATATATTGTTCATTTGTTCCATTTAACCATTTTCACTTCAATTTAAACGGTGTGAGATTTCATCATTTGTAATTATGTTTCTTAATTCAGTAACTATATACGCTTCAGGCTTTTCCCGACTACAAACGTTGAGCCTTTGACCAGATCACACACACAAACTATACAATTTTGGCGGGGCTAACGTGTATTTATCAACTTTGTACTCAATCGGCCCCTGTTAAAATTTGGACTTTGGTCAACAAGGTACAAGATCACAAGTTAACTTCACCACACTAAGAAGTTTCGAATGAATGGATGAGAAGTTGATGTTAATTCCAATGTTGGTTATGATGGTGAGAAGTGGTGTACTTCTAGCTAGGTCACAAGAGTAGGGCTAAGCTGCTAAGCTATACTTTTATATTGTGTTTCCTGAGTACTTCAAGAGATCTCCATATCGGGCCTTTAATTAAACCAGTGATAACTGCGACAATTCTCGATGACTTGTTTAACAAGGCTAACTTGAGTATCCTGTCAAACTTGTAAACTTCACGCTGTCCGAATGATCTCAAGGAGTCCTACAAACTGAAATCTTGACAATGGACAATCCATCGCTTATGTTTGTAGATGTCGCTTCGAACTCTTGGCCTTGCTCAACGGGAATCTTGAGCTTAATATTTGACAGTCAAAAGAGAGATGGTATATAATTGCTGGTTCCTTAATATGGAAATTTGAGCCATTTTAACAGACCGAATAAAGTATTACAGAGATATCATATATCATTGATATAATGTTCATACAACCAATAGTTGCTTATAGCTTATAGCTGTATATAGTTTTATTAGACTCTTGTTGGGTTCAACAACTTCACCGAACCTTTGGGAATTTCAAACTTTAATTTGTATACCACTTATATAGTAATGGTCGATCTTATAAAGTAAATCTAATTATGAAACTATCGTTTGAAAGGCTGACCAGCGAACAGTGACCTTATTCTAACTTCGGTAGATGAATAAGATAGATTCACCGAATTCCATCAAATTCTAGTTCTAGCTTTCCATCATAACCTAAAATGTTCGTGCTGAAGGTAATATACAATCTCAAAATATTCTATCCGAATGATCCATAAAGCAGCTATACAATGCACAATGGGTTAATCTGGTATTATTTAGCCACTACATCGATTGAGTACTCAGGAGTCAGGAGTCAGGAATCAAAACTCGTAAGTTCCTTACTACTTCAAACCGATGATGATTTACCATTTGACATGGACGGGTTTATATAGATAGCCCCACAATTTATTAATAACATATGTACGTCAAAATTAATCACATTAGGATACTAACAAAGCAAATTATAAGTGATGCAGATTATATATAAATAAAACATAGATTCCCGAGTTTACTTATGAATGATTTCACATTTGGTTCCACATACTAAATATTCTCAATTCAATAAGCATGTCACAGCAGTATAATCATAGCTCAGATTTATCAGATACAGAAAAACAATCACCACCAATACACAAAGAAAGTCAAACACCAACATATAATTCAGGTTCATATAGTCAAAATAGTAATTCATATCAACATGATTTAGGTACAGGAACTATTCAACCAAAACATTATGAAGATCATGAAGTTCATCCAATTAATACAGAAGTTTCAAGAATTCAAACATCAGGTAATAATAATGAATATATAATGATTGGACGTACAAAAGTTTTAAAATCAGAATTAGTTGATGCATTTGGTGGTACTTTAAATCCAGGTATTTCTGCACCATCAACTCATAAATTTGCTAATCCAGCACCATTAGGTCTATGCGGATTCGCTTTAACTACATTTATGTTATCAATGTATAATTCACAGGCAATGGGTATTAAAGTTCCTAATGTTGTTGTTGGTTCTGCATTTTTTTATGGTGGTGTATGTCAATTATTAGCAGGTATGTGGGAAATTGCTTTAGAAAATACATTTGGTGGTACTGCATTAAGTTCATATGGTGGATTTTGGTTAAGTTATGCTGCAATAAATATAAAATGGTTTGGTGTTAAAGATGCTTTTGAAGATGAAACAGAATTAGCAAATGCAATTGGATTTTTCCTTTTAGGTTGGGCTATATTTACATTTGGTTTAGTTTTATGTACATTAAAATCAACATTAGCATTTTTTTCATTATTCTTCTTTTTGGATATTACATTCATATTATTATCAATTGGTGAATTTACCGGTAGTGTGGGAGTTACTAGAGCTGGTGGTGTTTTTGGTGTTATTACTTCGTTTATTGCTTGGTATAATGCATTTGCAGGTATTGCAAATAGAGAGAATTCTTATTTTACAGCTAAAGTTATACCATTACCTCATGCCAAATCAAGAATTGAGAAAAGTTGAATACAACAACTCTTTACTTCTATGTACACATTTATTTTCTCATTTTATTAATTAGAGTTGATGAAATTATGTTGTATCTATTTATCTTTTATATCGTCTGTTGATCAGATCTTGATTTAAGATAAATCTGTTTATTTATATACAACCAGTATTAAAACATAACAACAGGTTATTTATTTAATCCGTAATGAAATTATATGACTTTTGGATATTCACTCAAGTGCAATTGTAGTAATTTTAATTTGAATTCTTATTATATCTAAGTTGTACAAAGACTAATTACATTCGGGTCTAAACGCCCTTTTGAAAACCATAACGTGCCTTACATAGACACTCATTTAGATAATGGGAAAGTTGAAACTAGAATATTAGACTATGGGTAAATGATATGTTTTAGTGATTCACTGTTATGTATATATCGGCTTGCTGGTGGCTAGTAGGTTAAGTTTAAACCAATCGATTCAATATGGCGTTTATTAGATCTTCTACTAATTTCAATTTTACATTAATGACTTTTAATAAACACAAAAGAGATCATATATTATAAGAAAACATAGGATAAAGCAGCAGTATCCTTTGAAATTGAAAAACAGAATCATGGTGTCCATATTTGAAGATATAAAGCATTAGGTTTGAAATTGAAGTTAAATTGTTGATCATATCAATAATCACCTTAAACAACAGTACAAGTGAACCAATATTTCCCATCAACAATAAAATTATCTTGATTCTCTAAATCTGAATCATTTGGAACAGCAGTAGTTGTCATTATTATATTGGATTGTTGCATCTTTGAAAGTGTATGTTTGAAAGTAGTTTTTGATACTGATCAAATCATTATAACTATTGTACAAACTTAGGGACTTTTCTTTCCTTTTTATATCTTGAGTTTTGAAGATATATGTTGAGTCATGTTTGATAAGGCTAGTACATATACATGATTTTCAAGGGTCTTTGTCATGAAATTGTTTTATAATTTGAACTGCTTGTATCAAACTCGGTATATGATATGTTTGTCGACTTCCCGATTGGGAATGAACAATAGATTTTCAAAATTGTAAGTTAACAGCTCCAAGGTTTTTTTTAATAATAAATTGGGATTTAATCAAACTTAATGAACAGTGATAACTCCATTTTAATGAAATATTGGTTTGAATTGTTTGAAGATACACGATCAAATATGTCTTATGAGGTTCGACTCAAAATATTCAAGATCTTAGTGATCTTGGTTTGTTTCATGCATCGATGGATTTATAGAACATATACCAGCTTTTTCATATAGATCATGGAAATGATAAAGTTTAAAAGAATGATTATACCAAGATACGATATTATTTAGCAAATTCAATGGTTTGTTAATTCATATGAGCTTATGACGAGTTGTACAATATTGCACTCTTATATCCCGCTAACATTCTAGTATGCATAATCCTCATAATCATAAGAGATACTTCTTTCAAAATCATGATTTGCTATCTTAATTGACCATTCAAATCACTAATATCGAGATAATCAAACTCAAATCACTAATGTCATGATAATCATACAATCTAAATCCTAATTTCTTACCTGTATGATGTACAGCAAAAATAGTCTATCGTTTACCATCAAGGGATTTCTCTTCTTCAATTCCTAATTAATTGCTGGAGTCTTGAAATTGACATTTATACTTGAAGTTTATTCGCAGCGTTGATGATCCTGCTATTAATGCGATAAAAATGTTAATTATAATTAATGTGTATTTAGCAAGTTTTTAGCAAGTTATATATAATTTTATATTATATATGATCAAAATCATTTAAATTTAGTGATCTCAGAACCAGTACTGCTGATTTTCGGGAACTAAAAGCAGCAGTAATTTTCATGAATTAGCTATAATGAGTTTCTGATTGATCTTACTACTGCTCTACCAGATCGTACATTTGATATCTGGGTTAGCAAAATCTGTAGGAGCTTTAATTCTATGACGTGATGGTGAAACATTAGCATCAGCTGCAGTAGCATTTGCTGATGGCTGACGAACATCCGTTGTAGTTTTAGCTTTACTCTTTGAACCTGAAGTATAATTATCTGAAGCTGCAGTTTTACCTTTACTCTTTGAACCTGAAGTATAATCATCAGAAGCTGTAGTTTTACCTTTACTTTTTGAACCTGTACTTTTTGAACCTGAAGTATAATCAGTAGCAGTATCTTTAGCTTTACCTTTTGAACCTGAAGTGTAATCAGCTGTAGCAGTATCTTTAGCTTTACCTTTTGAACCTGAAGTGTAATCAGCTGTAGCAGTATCTTTAGCTTTACTCTTAGAACCTGAAGTGTAATCAGCTGTAGCAGTAGCAGTATCTTTAGCTTTATTTTTTGAACCTGAAGTATAATCATCTGAAGCTGTAGTTTTAGCTTGACTCTTTGAACTTGAAGTATAATCATCAGAAGCTGTAGTTTTACCTTTACTATCTGAACCTGGAGTATAATCATTTGAAGCAGTAGTTTTAGCTTTACTATCTGAACCTGAAGTATGATCATCAGAAGCTGTATCTTTACCTTTACTATCTGAACCTGGAGCATAATTGGTTTGAGATTTTCCATCAGGACCACTTTGTTGGATATTTTCAAAAATTAATTTACTCAAATTAATGATTGGGTCCAAATTTGTATGGATTTTTGTAAATTTTGCTATTTCATCTGGTGAAATTAGGTATTCATCTTCATAGCCTTTTTTGATCTGTTGCTCAAAATGTTTCTTTATCTTTGACTTGAGATCATTGTTTGTAAATGAACTTCTATTCTTCATTAAAATTTCCAAAATCTCCATTAATTTTTTAATATAATACCTTTTTGGAAATGTTTTAAGTGGTATAACTAAGAAACACCTTGTTGACTTATCTGGGAGTGTTGTTCTTTTGATAATGGAACCATTTATAACCTTTGATTTTACAACATTATTGTTATAAAAATTTAGTTTATTTGTGATCTTGTCTAAATCATAATTTTTTAAACCGTTTGATGTAGATATTTGATTTGATATAAATTCTTCAAATTTTTCAAATGTACAAGTTTCACCATTTAATGAATGGATAAAGTCGTGAGCCAACTTGTTATGATTATTAGGTGAACTAAAAATATCATTGATTAACCCATCAATCTTCTCCTTATGAATTTCTATAATTTGTTCCATTATACTATTGATATTGTTATTGATATTGTTATGATCTGATGATGATATTGATGATGATGATGATAATTGACAAAGCGCTCTGTTGTGATTTTGTATAAAAGTATATGATTGTAATTTTGTGATCAGCTCCTTAATTTAATTGTGATTTTTATGATTTTTATATTACCACACATATAAGCTTAAAATGGGGGATCAAACCTTAACTTAATATAACAAAACATCAAACATTTATAATCTTTTAGATCAAACAACTAACAACAACATCATGGATAATAGCATGAATGAACTGCTACTCTCAATATATTCATTTCCCCATTTAATGGAAAGTCTTGATTGATGATTAGAATATATAGAATCAAATACATATCTACTATTGTTCAATTTTAGTTGTACTTTGTTGACTTCCCTATTAGGAAATAAACAATAAATTTTCAGTACATTGTAATTTACCTCCAAGATTCAATTTTTGCAAGAACTAATTTATTGTGTTTTGATCAAATTTAACGATGATATGACCAGATTAATGAAAGATAATGATATATACGATCTTTCAGGTTTTATGAGATTAAGATATATGAGATCTCTTACTAGCAGCTTAAGAAATTCGACTAGCTGATCAATGGTTTTCGGAATCGCCAGAATTGTTATTTTACTTCAGGTGTTCAGGTGAAATACTATGCAATCCGATAACTACCAGTAACAAATTAGTTAACTAGTAGTAATTTAGTAATTAACTAGTAATGCTTTATTGTCTAATCAAAGCATTGCCTTTAAAAGTCATGTCATCTAAATATTCACAAAACGTGTAGGGTTTATAACACCTGGCACGCTTATAAATCAACTGATTAAGCTTGGAAAAGTCTTGTAATATGTAAGTAGATAAGAAATGTGATCTAATCCTGGTTTTAAACGATTAGATTGTATGTAATTGATCAGATCTTAGAATCAATTATATTAATATATTCATACTGATGGTACTCTGTGCAAACTGACTTTAAGTGCTATAATTGTTATTACAAGTTTAACAAATTAGGAAATAATTGCAATTTATAATTACCATTTAAAAAACGTCACTGCGCAATTTTGCATTTTTTAATTTGGAAAGTCGATACGCAAAAAAACAATTAAACGAAGCTGATTTCAAACTTCAAAGCCACTAATTAATAAGAATTTTAAAGGGAATGAATCAAATTTAATTCTTCTTTTGCTTTCTATTCATATAATTTTAGTGGCACTGGGTGGCGCTAGGTGGCGCTAGAAGGAAGTAGTCGTGTACTAGTAGTAGTTCGTTCCATGATCCCGTTCAACCGCAACTCATTCTCTGCCTAAACCTTCCCACTCTCTGCTTAGGCTCTGCTTAGGCTCTACCTAGGCTCTGCCTAAAATTTCATCTAAGCAGCAACTCTCTGCGTAAAATTTAAACTCCCAATTAAAAAATTCTTTTCTTTTAAAATCGACCAAACAAAAAAAACAAAATTTAAATTTCTAAAAAAAAAGCGCCCTCAAAAATTAAAATTAAAATTAAAAATCAAATTAAAATCAAAATTTAACCAACAACAAAAACAATCAAACAAAGACAAAACAAAAAGACAATCAATAGTCAAATCAAATTTAGATATCTTATATCATTTAGGTATATTCCCTCCCAGCAGTACAAGTCTCGCGCTTGCGTGTTGCTTCCATTTGTTTCAACCCTTTTTTTTGACCCACCCATTTAGGTAAATATCCATTCTCAAAGTGTGTGTGTGTGTGCTTTTTGCTTTTAAGATAATTTTGGTGGTTATATTCTCATTAAAAAGATCATATTTCTAAAAGATTCATATATCAATATCAATTTTATCAATTCATTATATTCTCATTCCTTTAAAATTGAGAAGATTATTAGGTTTTCAGATATAAGCAAGATTTTAATCTCAATATCAAGATTTCAGATACAAGTTTATTATAAGGTATACATTCAATGAATTAAAAATGGGGTCAACAGTTGAAAATAGACCTAGAAAAGCTACTTTAAGTAGTAAGATTGGTAAAATGTTTGGTGTTTCTGAAAAAAATTCAATTCCTGAATATAATGAAGGACAACAATCACATGTTCCACAACAACAATCACAAATTCAAGGACAAGTACCGAATAATATATATCAAACTACACAAACTCAACGAACTACATCTGGTAATTCCATACAAAATAATAATTATACAACAACATCACCAACAAATTCAACTTCATCATTAAATAGTTCAAATTCTTCAGTTAATCAAATGATTGAATTTGAAAAACCTTCATCTAAAACTCCTTCAAGAACTGGTTCAAAACCTACTTCAAGAACTCCTTCAAGACCTCCTTCAAGAAATTCAAGTATAAATCATTCAAAAAATCATACATTAAATGGTTCAATTAATGAAAAATTAAATAATAAATTGAAGAAGATTGATCAACAATCTAAAACTGCATCAAATTCACCTCCTACTACAACAACAACAAATAACAATCAAAGTATACAAAGTCCATCACATTTAAGTAGATCATCATCATCAGCATCAACTCAACAAAATCCTCATACTTCACATTCAAATATAACATCAAATTCAAGTTCAACAAATTTAAATTTAAAAACTTCAAGATTTATAGTTTATGAAGATGGTTCACATTCACATCATTTAAAAAATGCTAAAAGACAAGAAAAATTAAGTAATATGTTGAAAAATTTATTAGGTGCTCAAAAACTAAGAGATGAAGCTATAAGTACGGTTCCTGATATCTTGTCAAATAATCCACCATCATTATTCTCAGGATTAGTTAAACAAATTAATAATAATAATGAAGAAAATATTCCTTTTAGTGGTGCTACAAGAATTCAAGGTGTTTCAAATTTACAAAATCAACAAAATCCTCAAGCTCATTCTAAAACATTTGCTGAAAGATATGGTAGATGTCAAGAAGTTATTGGGAAAGGTACATTTGGAGTTGTTAGAATTTCTCATAAAAAATTTAATAATAGTGAAAAAGAAACATTATTTGCCGTTAAGGAATTTAAAAAAAGACCAACTGAAAATGAAGCAAAATATTCAAGAAGATTAACTTCAGAATTTTGTATTTCTTCATCATTAAAACATGTAAATATTATAGAAACTTTAGATCTTTTACAAGATGCTAAGGGGGATTATGTTGAAGTTATGGAATTTTGTTCAGGTGGTGATTTATATACATTAATCATTGCAGCTCAAAAATTAGAATATATGGAGGCTGATTGTTTTTTTAAACAATTAATTAGAGGTGTTGTATTTATGCATGAAATGGGTGTTGCACATCGTGATTTAAAACCAGAAAATTTATTATTGACAGAATCTGGTATTTTAAAAATTACAGATTTTGGTAATTCAGAATGTTTTAAAATGGCTTGGGAAAAAGATATTCATTTTAGTGGTGGTATATGTGGTTCAAGTCCATATATTGCTCCCGAGGAATATACAACAAGTAAATTTGATCCAAGAGCTGTTGATATTTGGGCATGTGGTGTCATTTATATGGCTATGAGAACTGGTAGACAATTATGGAGATTAGCTAAAGATGAAGATGAATTTTTTGTTAAATATTTAGAAGGTAGAAAATCTACCAAAGGTTATGAACCTATTGAATTTTTAAAAAGAGCAAGATGTCGAAATGTTATTTATTCAATATTGGATCCTGTTCCAAGTAGAAGAATTAATGGGAAACAAATATTAAATAGTGAATGGGGTAGAGAAATTAAATGTTGTATATAATCTCCCCTATTATCATCCCTTTTGGATTAAAGATATAATGCAATGAACTTCATGATATTATTATATTACAATACTTGTGCATTTTGGTTTTAATTTTGTGTGTTTTTTTGTTTTGTTGTTTTTAAAATAATTTATATATAATGTTAGCATATGATTGAAATTGTAGTAATCACTTTTACCTCAGTATATTCACCTTTTTTATTATGAAACAAATTTAAAACGAGTTTATATGTTTGTGTCCCGAACCGGGTTTTTGATTTTCAATCATCAAAAATGAAATTGAGAAATAGGTCAATCAAACTAAAAAAAGAATGAAATACTAGTTGAAGAAAAGCATATAAGAAACAATTTTAGTTGAATATCAATTCAATTTTAATTTATATTCAAAGTTAGAATCAAAGAGAAAACATGTCTTGGTCCGGGTTCAAAAAGGCTATAAATAGAGCTGGTCAACAAGTGAGTGTTTGTGTTGTTGATAAAGGGGTTAATAAGCATAAACCCTTTGATCAATGATGAGAAGTTATAGGAATTATTTGAATGACTAACAAGAAACTCAGGCTTTGATTAAAGATACAGATAGACAAAGTGATAAGGATTATGATGTTGAAGAACGTCGTTATAGAACGTGAGTTTGTTTGTTTTGAATGTTATGTGTTTGCGGTTATACTAATTGAAGAGAAACAGATTAGAAAAAGCTGGTAAAGAATTAGAAAAAGAATCAAAAGGCTATCTTGATTCTCTTAGAGCAATGACACAATCACAAGTTCGTATTGCAGAAGTGATTTCTTCATTATATGATGATTCTAAATCTGTTGGTAGTGGTTCAAATGTTGGTAATTATTATTTACAAACTGTTCAAGAATTTGATAGTGAAACTGTTAAACAATTAGATGGTCCTTTTAGAGAAACTGTTCTATCACCAATAACTACATTTGCAAATTATTTTAATGAAATTGATGATGCTATTAAGAAACGTGCACATAAAAAAGTTGATTATGAAGGTGCAAAGGCAAAAGTTCGTAGATTAGTTGATAAACCTGCAAAAGATGCATCAAAATTACCAAGAGCTGAAAAAGAATTACAAATGGCTAAAGAAATTTATGATCAATTAAATGTTCAATTAAAAGAAGAATTACCACAATTGATTTCCCTTAGAGTTCCATATTTTGATCCAAGTTTTGAAAGTTTAGTTAAAATTCAATTAAGATTTTGTACTGAAGGTTATACAAGATTAGCACAAATACAAAATTATTTAAATCAACAAGATCGTGATGATTATTCCCAAGGGATTCTTGATGATAAGATTAGTCAATTATTAGTTGAAATGAGTCAATTACAAATTGCATCTTTAGGAGTGAAATAAGGTCAATTTTAACCCAAATTTAACCAAAAAAAACCACAGGAATAAATTACAACACCCTCAGAACACTTCTCAATAGCTTTATATCTGAATTAATCTCAATTTAATTGTATAATGAAATGTTTTTTGTAAATTTTGTGTAAATTTTGTAGTACATTAATATTGAACCTCGGAACTTGAATTTTCCCAAAGTCGGAAATCTTTTTTGTTGAATAAAGGCAAATTAAAAAAAAAAAGATACGATAAAGTGCATTTCACTGCTTTTAAATCTCAACGTTTATCAATTGATTTGCAGGTTGGTTCAATTGTTTAACATCTTTGAGGTGCTTATTGTTATTTGTTCGGTGCTTGGTTGGTATTACTTGGTTGATAGTTCATTTGGTTGTCTTTGGTTCATTTGTTGTTGTCTTTGTCTTTGGTTAATTGTTGTTGTTTGATAGGGTTGATTTGTGGTTATATTGTTGTTGTTCAAAAAATCAATGAATCCATTTTTAATAATATAACAGAATCCTTTTAAAGATCATATACATCACATTTCATTACATCACATACACACTTACACTCATATACACATACCATAATGTTTGAATTTCTTTTATTCTTAAAATCATTAATTTATGTTATAATTGATTATATTTATAATAATTATTTAATTAAATTTAAGAAACATTATTGGAAATTAGGTATAAATTTAACTAAGAATCAAAAAAAATTTATAATATGGCCAATTTCAATTGTTTTTATATTATCTTATCCCTCCATATATTCAATTTATAATTCCGGGATTGATGAAGTAATAAATGGGAATGGATCATTACAAATTAAAGATATTGGATTCCAAAGTCAGAATTTTGATATAAATAATCTAAATACATTATCATTAAAACAAATTTGGTTAACACCAAATATAAAAGAATCATCTTCATCAAATATTTTAAATAAATCAATATTAATTGATTGTTTAAATTTTCAAAATCAATTATTAACAAATATAAATAATAATGATGAAAATTTTGCATATATTCATACTCCTTTAATAACTTGGAATAATGATTTAACTTTATTAGATCTGGAAAAAAACCCAATTAAATCAATAAGGCAAAATAGTCAAATTTGGGATAATGGATTATTATCTGGTGTGGTTAAGATTAATGGATTAATTAAATCTGCAGATTCTCTTAGAATCTTGATTTTTTATAAAGAATCGAAAAATGGAATTGATGCAGGAAGTACATGGGATCAAAATTTACAAAATTTACAAGAAAATTCAGATTTTAAAATGTTCAAATTCCATAATGAACAAAGTTCTACAATGAAATCATTTTTCCTAAAATTAACTAAAATGAATTCTTTAGATCATTTAATATTAAATGGATCATATCTATTAATTATGATTTATTTTTTAATCTCATTAACAAATTTAAAATATGTTCAATCAAAAATTGGATTATTATTTGCATTTATCATTGAAATTTCATTATCAATTTTATCTTCTGCCACTATAACAAGTTTTTTATTTCAAGGTGGTGTTGATTTTAAAGAAATTCATTTAGAATTCTTACCATTTATTATTATTGTTGTTGGTATTGAAAATACATTTAGATTAATTAATTCAATTTCACAAACACCAGTTGAACAATCTATTCAATTAAGAGTATCACAAGGGTTATCAGATGTTGGATTAACGTCAACGCTGGTCTCTTTGTTAGATTTGATTTTATTAATCTTGATTTATCCATTTGTTTCAATTAATACTCAAAAATTTTTAATATTTGCAAGTATAACATTAATTATTGATCATTTTCTACATTTAACTTTCTTTGCTGCGGTTTTAAGTGTTGATATTCATAGATTAGAACTTGATGAATTACTTAATAATAGAGATTCCAAGAAAAATAATATTTATGATTCATTAAATTCAACTTCAGAAAATTCAAAATTATTTAAAATTATAAAATTTATTAAAAATATTAAATTACCAATATCTACAACTGCAACTGGTACAATTGTTATAATTTTATTTTTAATTATTACAAATATAAGATGGACTGATAATAATATATGGTCAAACTTGTTGCCCACATCTCATTCTCAGAATTCAATCAATAATGATCCATTAAATTTAATTAAAAATGATGATGTATTAATAAATTTCATTGATAAAAAATCACTAAGCTCAGAAATTATCAATCTTTCTTATAAAAACAATGAAAAAGATTTATCAAAAGTTTTAATTAAAATTTATGAACCAAAAATTATTTCACATGGTCCAACAAGAGTTGAAAACTTTGATTTTACATTAAATACAACTTATAAATTTGATTTATATTATGTTTTAGAATTTTTAACATCTTTAGCATTTATATTATCAATTATTTTACTTATTTTGAAAATTTTCCAAATTGATAATCCAATTTCAGAAAATTTGAATGATCCAAATTCAAAAGAAATTTCAAAATTAAAACAACATTCTTTTAATTCTAAAATTTTAACTGGTGGTCATTTTTTAGATATTATTAAAATTGAAACTTCACGTTCTCCATTCATCGTTTCAATTGGATTAGATCATAAATTATTAGTTTGGTCTCCTGCATCTCAACCAATGCCAGTTCCATCTCAATTACCAATAAATTCTTCAATTTGGCCAATAACTCATGTTGTATTAAGTGATCAGGGAAATTTCATTGCAGTCTTTTCGAAAAATGGAATAATTCAATGTTATTCAAGACTTACAATGACTTGGATTTGGAAATTAAAATTAATGAATTAGAAAATACAAAACCCCTTGAAGCTTTTTTCAGAATTAAAACTATACCAGCTTTTTTACAAAGAAAATTAAATTTAAATTCAAAAATTCAAAATACTTCAGCTCCAAGTTCAAGAAGAAATAGTATGAGATCTATTGCATCACCTGCTTTAATACCCTCAGGTTTATCTTTTACTAATACCGCAGGTGCACATACTGATTTAAAAGAATTAGTTATAATATTAAAAGATGGCCGTGTTGCCAGATTATCATGTGAAGATGGTTCATTAACTTTTGAAAAATTAACAAATTCAAAATTAGTTTCAAGTGCAAAATTAATTACACCAAGAGTTAATGATAGATTAGTTAGTTTTACTGAAGATGGTAAAGTTTTATTATCTACTGCTGTTAATAATAAATGGAAAACAAGAATTGTTCATATTGATGAATATAAATTTAATAATCCTGAAGCTTTTTCAACTCCTCCACCACAACCATTACCACCTAATGATTTAAGGAATTCTGAAATTGATAAGGAAAAATTAACCAAAGAGTTTAGTAAATCTGAAATTGCAATTGTTCCATTTGTTGGGTTTATTGTTAGAACTCATGGGATTTTTGCTGAAATTATTGATGTTCAAACTGGTATATTAATGAAAAGATTTAAAATTCAAAATTTAAAAAAAGATTCATTACATGTTTTCCATGATCAACCAACTCATTGTCGATTTTGTGGTTCTGTTTCAATAACTTCATTTACTATTGTTTATACAACTGAAAAAAATAGTGTTATTATGCATACTTTTAACGTTGATCATAAGGCTAAAACAAGTATTTGTCTTCGTGTGGAAAGAGATCCAAGAGAAATTAGATGTGTTGGGTTTGATCAAGTTACTGAACATAAACATGAATTGAAAAATGTTGAAGGTTGGAGTTGTACAGATAAAAATCAAATTGTTGGTATTAGAAGGAAAACTGAAGATGAAGTTAAAAAATCTTTGGAAAAATCAGAAAAAATTTCTACATTAAGAAGAAGAAAAAATTTAAATAAAAATTTTAATCAAAATTTTGATCAAAATGCTCCAAGACTTCATGATTTATGGGAAGGTTGGTCAATGGCTGCTGATGGTAAAGTTGATTATTATGAAATTCCAGATGAAGGAAGTTCTGGTGGATTATTAGTTAATAGTATTGGACAAATTAATTCATTTGGTCATAAATCTATTGTTGTGGCATTTGGTAATATTATGAGAGTTTTATATTTAGGTAATGATAATTTAATTTATAATGATGAAGATCATAATCAAAAAAATGAAATTAGTGGATTAAATTTTGTTAATAAAAGAAGAAAAAATTTAAGAAAAATTGATAATTTAACTTCAACTAATTTTAGTGAAATTGATACTGTTCCTGGTATTTCGGAATTAGCATTATAATGATTTAAAATTAATTTTGTATATATTTATTTATAAATAATGAACAAGTGTTTATAATAAACATTAATCTATGATAATACCCATTGTATAATAGCTTAAAACTATCATAATTGTCCAAAAAAATTCACGATTATAACCCCAAAAATCCGGATTATAAGCAAAAAAGAAAGAAACGCACTCACGCTGGGGGTCGAACCCAGAATCTTCTGATTAGAAGTCAGACGCGTTGCCATTACGCCACGCGAGCTTCGTTGAAGTATTTTGACCTGCAGAAGCTTCCCATTAACTTTATCACACGTGACTATCACGCCATAATCACGTGAATTTGTGATAAGAGCACATAAGTTCAATTTTATAAACCAAGATAAATGTCTATTATGATGGAAAAATTCAAAAGTAAAGATATATTATTGTTATTTAGACTCTAAGAATTATAATCATGTAGTTTCCAGGGTGAAAATCAAGAAAAAAGATTAGTGGATTTTTAAAATTTTTCAAAATGGCAACAAAATAAATTTTAATTTAACTTCAAGATAATTTTTATAAAAATTAACTTAAAAAATATTTTTTTCAATTTCACTAGATTTGAAGATGGTTTGATAGTCTAAGTATCATATAGCATTCCTTTAAATGAGCTTTGAGCCCATGTTGTCTCAGAAAAAAGAGCATAAATTAGAAGACATAATATAAATTTTGAAGATTGACGTGGCGCCGCTCGGCCGTTTATTTCCGATCGGATTTGGAGTAAATTGTTCGATATTATCGGTAGATTATTGTGGGCGCAATTAAACCAAGACTAGTTGAAATATTTTGATTCAGATCTATATAAGAAACATATTCAGCTCATAAATTGATTAAAGCTAATCTCTGAAAATAACTATCATATACAATCAATTGAATAAAAATGCCTGGTCAAGTATTAGCAACTTCTTATAAAGTCAAGTTAAATGATGGTAACGAAATTCCAGCTCTTGGACTAGGTGGTGCTGCCCCTGAAAGTGATCATGAACGTTTTAAAGACGCCCTCAAGGCTGCAATCAGATCAGGTATTCGCCACATTGATACTGCATGGTATTACAATACTGAGCATATAATTGGTGCTGCTTTAAAAGAATTGATTGATGCTGGTGAAATCAAAAGAGAAGATCTTTTCATTACTACAAAAGTTTGGCCTTCATTATGGGATAAAGCTGAGTATTCATTAGATCAATCATTAAAAGATTTACAAACTGATTACGTTGATTTGTTTTTACAACACTGGCCTATTACTTATAGAAAAAGTGAAACTGGGATACCACCTAATCCAACTGATTCTAATGGAGTTTTACAATTTGATACAGAAGCTGATTATCTTGATACTTATAAGCAATTGATCAAACTGAGAGATAATACAAAGAAAGTCAAAAGTATTGGTGTTTCAAATTTCACTGAAAAACATTTACAACGTGCTATTGATGAAACTGGTGTTGTTCCAGCTGTTGAACAAGTTGAATTACATCCAAGATTACCACAAAAAAAGTTAGTTGAATTTGCAGAATCAAAAGGAATCAAAGTTGAAGCTTTTTCTCCAGCAGGTTCAAGTGGTGCACCATTGATCAAAGAACCATTGGTTGTGAAGCTTTCTGAAAAATATGAAGTTTCTCCAAATTCTGTATTAAATTCTTATCATATTTTAAGTGGTAGAATTGTTTTACCAAGATCTTCCAATGCTGAAAGAGTCAAGACTTTTATTGAGCTTGCACCTCTTACTGAAGATGAATTAAAGGAACTGGATCAATTAGGAATTGATAATCCAAAAAGATTTATTAATGATGATTGGGGTGTTCCATTAGGTTTTGAGCATTGGAAAACCAAATTTTCTTGGGAATCATGAGTATGTGTACTTCACCAGATACAAGTGCTTCTTTTTGAACTTCAATAATGCATTGAATAAAAATCTCATAGAGATACAGGGAAGCTCTTTAATAATAAAGTTGGATTTGAATTATTGAATTAAAAAAATCTTGAAAAAAAATAAATTTGTGACTTCTGTTTTTATATAAATACAACCTCCTTTGAAGTATAATAATATTATCCTATTTTCTTTGTTCTGTATTGGAATCTTCAACTCATTACTAATTCAATATCACTGGACCATTTTTTTCTTTCAAATAAAATGAAAGCTAAACTCTTAACATAACCGAGAATGATATATCCATTTTATTCTTTGAAGACTTTGCTGAAAATGATCCAAACTGCTTAAGCATTTTATCTGTTATAATCTTTGGGTTATCCATTAACCTGACACAAAATATGAAAGAGACTAAATCTATGAGTTATGACTTATGACTTATGACCTCAAATGGAATATATAAACTTAATGAAGATTGATAGAAATTGATTACACCAATTTGAAGGGTTAATTTCAACAAATAAGAGTTCTTCTATAAAGTTCAGATAGACCTGAAATTCAAAAAGTTAAAGCGGTATATATTATGAAATATAAATGTTTAAACAAAAGATACAAAGTTTATGTACCTAATTTATCTACAGCTGGAACAGGAAAATTACCATATTTGGCACATTTTCAGGAGTATTTACATAAGCAAAAGTTGAATCACCAGGAAAACACCACTTTTTCAAAGCTTCAACCAAGCTCGCGTGGCGTAATGGCAACGCGTCTGACTTCTAATCAGAAGATTCTGGGTTCGACCCCCAGCGTGAGTGCGTTTCTTTTTTTTGCTCATAATCCGGATTTTTTTTGCTCTTTTATAACATTTTTGTTATTTAAGGGGTACTGGGCATCTTTTTTATGTAGCATGATCTTTTTTGTTAAAGATATTACAAAGTTTGCCCTGAATTATTTGTTTTTGAAGTTTTCCGGCCGTTTAATATAAGTCCATTAAAAGCCGAACATGTCATGTAGAACTTTGTAAAAACGTTAACTGAGAAAACTAGTGACTACTCGTTATATATTATTTTAATTGATATAGATTAAGCTTTATTACTGTACCTTGGGTATATTTTAAGACTGTTATAGGAAAATAAACACCAACTATAATGTATCAAGATGGTAACAATTTAAAGATGGATTATATGTCAATATTAATCTAAACTTTTCATATAATTTCTTCCTTTGAAACCCAATAAGCATACTATACTTCAGAGGTTCATCATGCTATAGAGATATAGTGATACTACTTGGTTATTGAAATATTACTCATTCCCATTTAATTCCACCAAAATGGTCATTCGAGTACAAGCTCATAATGTTTCATATCTATTTTTCGGTATGAATGTAATCATCATCAGAGACATTGGCTTATCTGTATCCAGTACCATTATGGAGATTTTCAGCATCCTAATATTTGACATACTAAAATAAAGTGTTTAGCACAAATGTATCAGCTGTCAATTGTCTGAATATCATCCAAAGTGTTTCACGATTGGTAACATAATTGTATACTCGATGATTGACATATTGTAGGATTGTATGACTTGAAATATTGATAAAAGAGTAAATATCCAATGTATGCATGAAATATCTAAATTGTTCTATCCATAGTCTTCAAACTATTTTGAAATCATCAGGATTAAAGTCAGCTTTGAAAGACCAATTGAAGATAAGATTTCTCACTGTGTTACTGATGTTACTGAAGTGGCATCCAAAATCACAAATAAGCATTTTTCATAATCAGGGAGTGTGTTATCAGTATTGTTCATAGTCCTGATCATCTGATATGTGTTTGATCCATGCTATGATTAAATCTTTTCCTTTCTTCAGTTTTATGATAAGATAATAAATATTGGTGTTGAAGTATGAATCACTTATACATTTCGACAAATTTAATCATGATTAACTATTTCATATCCATAAATCATTTTAAAACTAGCGGACTAAGGATTTTCAAAGATATTCAATAACTATTCACACCAAAACTTCAATATTCAAATGGTGGGGATTAAAATAAGTAATTATCATAGTCCATCAACTGCATAATGAAATAGGTAAGACCATTTTTAAAATTTAAAGTGATAGCTCAAATTTGTCAGCGGTACCATCATTATATTTTTATAATGAACCTCGATAATCTTGGAAGCTTTCTTATTGATTTTAAGCAAAGAAATCCATGATTTTGTTATAATCACCAATAAATATCAATGATTATGGATCCTGGGTAGAGTGTTAAAGTAATCAGGAATAGAAGGTCTCCAGGTTCCAAGCAATGAATGCTGAAGTTGAATTTAGTCAAAAAAATCATTATCTCTCAAAATCAATCTCAAGCCTCATATGTTATTTATTGATCCATTATATAAACTAGCATAACATGTGCTAATCGAACACAGTATCTAGCTAACATTGAAAGATCCGTGTAATTGATTTCACAATTAACAAGTAACAGATGAAGTCTTGACTTCCATCTGAAAGAACTTCAATTAGAAATTAAGTAAAATGATTTAATTAATTATCATAATCAAGACATAAATGGATTAACATTCATAAAAACTCTCACATTTTATTAGCAGAGCTATGCATTCACCATAACAAGATGATTTGATCTTAAGACGATCTTAATAGAAATCTTTCAATTTCATAAATTTTAAGTACCTTTCTGTATTATATTACATGATTAAAGATCATCCAAGTTGACACAGAAACAATAATTGAAGATACCTCATTAATGAGTTAATGATTAGTCAACAGCAATTATCAAACCATTGCATCCTCAAGGTTTTTAAGTAGTTTAATTTAAAAAGTTAAATACCAAAATACTTAAATTATACACGACCTAAACAGGTAAATTACTACATCTGGCTAATTTTCAGGAGTATTTACATAAGCAAAAATTGGATCGCCAGGAAAACACCACTTTTTCAAAGTTTCAACGAAGCTCGCGTGGCGTAATGGCAACGCGTCTGACTTCTAATCAGAAGATTCTGGGTTCGACCCCCAGCGTGAGTGCGTTTCTTTTTTTTTGCTTATAATCCGGATTTTTGGGGTTATAATTGTTAATTTTTTTGTTATTTTATACTGACATTATACTATAAGCTCTAATTTAGATATAAAATGAGCCTACAGTATGTCTTATCATTACATGGCTTCAAAATTGGGTAAAAAAGTCTCGATCTTTAAAGTTCCGAGCCTCCTTAACAAAAGAAAAGCTATCAATTTGATCAGAAGTTTAACGGCCACCAGAGTCATATCATCAAGGGCGTTTCTTATTGGTCCCTCTAGTGTCGAAACCAAACGTTGACAACTTTATTTAACACCCATCACATCTGTTCAAACAAAGCCCTTTATTCAATCAGGAACACAAATCTTAACACTCTGTCTACGACGTATCAGAAGCCCCTAGCAGGCCAATGAGAAGCTCTGCTTACAGTGCTGACCTTGTCCCTGTGTAAAGGCAGCACGGTGACTGGTTCTTCTGCCTGGAGCCCGGAAGAAAACGTCCTGCGAATGTCTGCCTATTTTTAAAATTTAAACTGGAGTCGCTTTTTGTTGGCCCAAAAACTTTTAAAAGAAATGAACAAAAAAAAAATCATATGCAAGATACCAAAAAAATTTACAACTGTGTAAAAAAAATGTTTTTGAACAGATCAGCTCTTGGAATAAAAAATTGATATCTTATTCAAAGTCCTTTTCTCTTTTGTTTTTGTTTCTTCTCCAAGACCCATCAATTCACTTTTACTACGTGGTTGTGGATCCTTATTTATATCAATTCTTCACTCATTCAATTGATCAAAGATCTGATAAATCAGAGTTATCAATAGATCTCAACATTTTTCAACCTGTCAACGGAACGAATTTTTTTTTCTGAAATCAAAGGGAAAATTTTCTATTAAAGCTCGTGGTTCTTTATTCTTTATATAACAACAACCACAAAGTCTTTCAAAAGTCATAGATCTTACAATGGCTTCTGTTCAAACTTTAGCCTCAGGTTCAGGCGCTGATTCTCATTTAGAATCAAATAATTTAAAACCAACAAAATTAGGTGGTAACGTTTCAGGTCTTTCAGAAACTCCAAAACAAGCCATTGATACACATGGTAATGTTTTCAATGTTCCAGATTATACTATTAAAGATATTTTAAGTGCTATTCCAAAACATTGTTATGAAAGAAGATTATTACAATCATTAGGTTATGTTGCAAGAGATATTATTGCAATGACTATTATTGGTAATATTGGTTATAGATATATTCCATTAGTTGAATCCACAGCGGTTAGATTTGTTTTATGGAGTGTTTATTCTTATTTATTAGGGTTATTTGGATTTGGTCTTTGGATTTTAGCTCATGAATGTGGTCATGGTGCTTTTAGTGATTATGGTTGGGTTAATGATCTTGTTGGTTGGGTTTTACATTCTTATTTATTAGTTCCTTATTTCTCATGGAAATTTTCTCATTCAAAACATCATAAGGCAACAGGTCATTTAACAAGAGATATGGTTTTCATTCCTTATACTAAACAAGAATATCTTGAAATGAAAAAAGCTAATAGTATTGCTGAACTTACCGAAGAAACTCCAATTTATACCTTTTTAGTTTTATTATTTCAACAATTAGGTGGGTTACATTTATATTTAACTACAAATGCTACTGGTCAACCACATCCAGATCATTCATTTATTGGTAGATCTCATTTTAATCCATCATCACCAATTTTCGATGCTAAAGATTATTGGTATATTGTTTTATCAGATATTGGTATGTTAACTACATTTACTGTTGTTTATTTATGGTCCAAATATTTTTCAATTTGGTCAGCATTTATTAATTGGTTTATTCCATTTTTATGGGTTAATCATTGGTTAGTCTTTGTTACATTTTTACAACATACTGATCCAACAATGCCACATTATGATGCTGAAGAATGGACATTTGCTAAAGGTGCTGCAGCAACAATTGATAGAAATTTTGGATTTGTTGGTCAACATATTTTCCATGATATTATTGAAACTCATGTTTTACATCATTATGTTTCAAGAATTCCATTTTATAATGCAAGAGAAGCTACAGAAGCTATTAAAAAAGTTATGAAAAATCATTATAGATATGATGGAGAAAATATGTGGTTAAGTTTATGGAAAGTTATGAGAAGTTGTCAATTTGTTGAAGGTGAAAATGGTGTTAGAATGTTTAGAAATACAAATGGTATTGGTGTTAAACCAAGAGAAGATACTAAAAATTAGAGATTATTCATATTTTTTATTCAATTCATATTCAAAATTTAGAGATTGAATATTCATTTATTATAAATTATATAACTTATATTGTACATTATAGATTATTATGATATGGAATGTAGATTAGATGTTTTTTATACCTCAGTTGATTCATCCATCATACCTAATGAATCATACTCTTTATTGAAAACAATATCAATAACAAGTCCAAATAAAATCGTACAACTATAATCAATCAAGATTATAATAATACTTATTTGATCATCTATATCTGATCCAACGATCCAAAATTTTGGGAAATTTGTAATTGAATTAAATAATTTGAAAACATTTAATAACAATTGTATAACAATGAATGATATTGTTAACATACAAATACTTATAATTGTTTTGATGGTAAAATCCATTGATTTGTTCAATAGATTGATCAATTTATTCAATTTAATCATGAGTATCAATATAACAATGAGATAAGAAACATATATCATAATTTCATAAACTTGACCCCAATGATTAAATACATTATACATTGAAAGTATAATGGTTTCAGTAATCAACCCACAAATCAAAATATCAAGTATAGTGAAATTTTGAGTAGCAACAATACCATTTTCAACAAATTTAATGATTATCCATACTAATATAATCATCAATCCAATATTTAATCCTTCCAAAATCTTAATAATGGGTTCTAATTGAACATAAAAAGGATCATAAATCAATTGTAATGTTAAACTGAATTGAATACATTTTATTATCAAAAAACTAATGAATATTGGTATGAATGATTTGAATTTGGAATTATAATTGATTATAATGATTGATGGATATATAGAGATTGTTAATATCAAAATATAGAATGTAATTGAAATTCCATTTATGATTTCTAATGGGTATGAAGACATGGAATATAAGTTATAAGTTGAATGGTATAGATATCATACCAACCAGCAAGACCAGTCAGTGCCAGATCATTTAAAGAGGGTCATTTGTTATTTATATAAACCATGAATATACATCACAATATAACATTGTCATGTACTCTTTGAATCACGCTTAATTCTGTTCAAGTCACATGTCTTCAACTCCTAATGAATATAGATAGCTGGTGGTATAAATAATACTCTTATGTCTTATGCACCAAATATTATAAGCGCTTAATTTTTTAAAAATCATGTGACACCATAGTTAAGATTAAAGTTGAAGGGAAACAATCTAAACAGTTTAAACAGTTTTAAAAGGGGGATTTAAAGACCCTTCAACTGTTAAACATTAAAGCATAATTAGTCTAGATTTTAAAACTGACTAGTACATACAGGCTACTACCCTGGTCGACCCTTGATAATTAAGCAAGAGAAGGGTTTAGGATTTAGGAATTAAGAACTTAAGTCTTATATATATGAGTAGATGAAGTTCGATTTCTATATGTTATGTTTGAAAATGCAATGAAAATCGTCAATCACGTAAAAATAGAACTCTATGCACTAGAAATGTAACAGCTACTGCACATTCAGCCCTTGATTAAACAGTTGATAATAAATTTTATCACTAAAACTGATCCTGGTATAACAAAACACATCAATACAACAAACGACCCAGCAATAATAAGAACACTTATATATTCAATTCATTCATAAACCAATTATTTCATCAATGTATAATCTTAATATTATTTTACTTTCAAATAATACCCCCTATAATAAACCCTCAAAACCGCAAAATTTATTGTGCTTACATCAGCGCCATATCTTTTCCTTTTCAAGAATTTCCAGTGTATAATAAAATTGTACATGACGTGAAAGTTTAAAAATTAGCCTTAAAATTGTTTTGATTTTGATAGCCTTTTTGGTTACCTATATATTAATGGTTTAATCATGATTTCAATTATACCTTGTTTTTATTGTTATTGAGCTGATTAGTATATATCATAAACTACGTCACTACGTTTATACAATGGAACAATTATTAAAAGATCCAATGTTCCCAGAGATTGATCAATCTGTATTAGACCAGCTAATTGAAAATCAAATTAATCAAGTATTAAACCCAAAAGATCACTCAAATATCAAAAAGAAAAGATCAAGAAATGGTTGTTTAAGATGTAAGAAATTAAAAATTAAATGTAATGAAGGAAAGCCAATTTGTGATTATTGTCAACATAGAGGTGCTAAATGTCAATATCCTAAACAAATTACATCATTATCTAAGAGAACAATATCCAAGGGTTCTCAAAAACCTATAAAGAATATTATAATTAATGAATCAAATGAATCAAATACTTCTTTAATGGTGAAGAATACTATTATAATGGAAGTTGATATTCCACCAAAGTTAAATTCATTTGAAGAAAGGTTATACAAGATATTTATGGATTTTGCACCAAGTTTTTTCACATTTGACATAAATTTACAAGCAAAATTATTTTGGATTAATGAAATTCCCAAATTATTTCCAAATTCAAAATTAATTCAAAATTCAATATTTGCATTAAGTTCAACAAGATTATTATACTTGTATAAATCTGATTTTGAAAAAGCCATTACCGATTCAGATATTTCCACAATAGATCTTTATAAAAAATCTATTGAATATCAAAACAAAGCTATAACAACAATGGAATCAATCCTAGAACTAACTCCACATAATCAATTATCCCAAGATCAAATGGGTCAATTAACAATATCTAAAATTATCTTATTAGGTACAATGGCCATTTTCCCTCATTTAATTGATCCTGAAAAGACAATTAAGACATCAAATTTAATCAAATTAATTGAATTTATCATCAAAACAAGTCCTACTACGACAACAACAGTTAATCTATTAAACAATTCCAAATATATACAACTTTTCACAATGGATGAAGAAATTAAAGATATACCAACCACAGCGGCTAATATTCAACAACAACCAAAATATTTATTCATTGAATACCTAAGATCATACATCTCCACCAAACATCCAAATTCATTTGATCTTGAGAAAATCACATATAATGATTGTATAGCAATGATGGAATTAGGTTGTAATAGATCAAGTTTTTTAAATTATCCAATACCTTTTTTCAAATCATTAGTTAAATTTAGTCGTGATAAAGATTTCCATAATTATTTGATTGATGAAGAACATACTGCTATGAAGATTGTTTTTTATTTTAGTTGTATTTGTTCAATTTTAGATATTAGATTATTACCTGGCTTGGGGGTATGGGATGAATTTATTGAAATTTATAAAAATTATAGTTTTAAGAAATTTGATGGTATGATGGAGGATAAATTTGATGAAAATGTTTATAATTTAGTTATTGCTAGAGGGAATAATGAAGTTGTTTATGATTTAAATTTATTAAAATTTGTTGGATTACCTATGGAAAAATTCCAAAATGGAGAGATTGAATTAGTTGAAAATGAATTTAAATGTGATTTTAGATTATGATATTAGCCGCTTTAATGAATGTTGTTTAAAAGGATGTTTATGGATTTTGATGATTAGCAGCCCTATGATATCTATATGAAATCACTACAAAATCATTAAAATCTATCAATCATATATAAAAATACTCAAGTTCAATCTAAACAACAGATTTTGAAGATTCATCATAATCATCAACAACAACTTCCCTTGTGGTTAAACCATCAACATATTCTTTTTTATAAACCCAAATTGAAACCAATGTGAAAATCAACATTATAATACATTCTTCCAAAAAAGCCATAAATGTATAATATTCCCATTGACCAAATAAAAATGTAAATTTACTAATCCTGGTTGCATATGTTTGACCTGAAGTATTTATAGAAAATGATGTACAAATGTTATAAACCATTCTAATGAATAAGAATGGCATGTTTATGATAACTAAAGTTAATAATTGTTTTTTGTATGATTTGATATGGATTGTGGATTGTGATGATTTTTGAATTGAATTAAATCCTTGTTTAATCAAAACTATTATTAAGAGTGTAACAATGATGTATAAGATTGAACCGGTTTCTGATAGTTTTTTGGAAATTGAAGGATCAGTACTTGAATATGATGAACCCACAGCATTAATAATAATTGTTGCTAAAGTTAATTTATCAACTAATGAATTCCAATTCATTGGTTCTCTATTACTTTTTGATTTAAACAAATTTGATACACCAGTTTTTAAAAGTTTAAACAATTTAAATTTTTCTTTTGGTTTTGAAGGTTGATCAAATGATTCAATAAAATTTATAATGAAAATTAATGAAGTTACAATAATACCTGAACTAATAACACCTAATACCGAGGAACCAATACCTAATCCTAATGAATGATTTGAATCTTTAATAAATGCAATAGTTAAAGCACCACCAATGATTTTAATTAATAATAAGATATAAAATCTAATAAAGAACCATCTGAATTTGGATTTGATTTGAAAAATTTTAATTGAAGGGTAGATAACTAATGCCAATAAGACTGCATAATAACCAATCTCAAATGCTGATAAGATTTCCCAAGGATTAAATGAAAACATGTTAAGTACAATTGATGTAGTTGAAACTTGATAATATAGTACCAACTAGAGCCAAGAGATTAAATCAACGGTTCTTTCCAATTCTTTATATACCCATGAATGAATATGACATTACAATATGGTAAAGCGCATAAATGTACCATAATTAATTACCATACTAATATACATGCACACTGCCTTAAAAACAACAGATTGATCATCTATTAAACAACCCTTTAACGTCTTTTGAGTTATTATTCTTGATAAAATTTGTATCAAATGCATCTTATTCTTAATCCGTCATATTTAAGCTTAATTCCATTTAAATCCTTGTTGAATCCCGCAGTTAATCTTGTTAAATTTGAACTAATTAATTGAATTTTTTTGGTGGTGCATTTTGGCGCTGACATAAGCCCAGTCTAAATAATTTAGTACAAACTTAAGATCAATTGATTATACAGAAGGAGTTGATATACTAGAGCAATAATTGATTGTGGTTGATTGAACCTTATATTGGTCTAGAATATTCTTTACCAATTCTTTGATTATTTTAGATCACGATTCATTACTAGTAGCTTACTATATTCATAAGAATTATCACCAGTACTGTCGTGTATATGCATAGCTCTGAAAATACGACTACTTTTGATAAGCATACAACTTATAGTGCATGTGCAGAATGACAAATAAACAAATGAACAACATATTATGATTCAAATAATACAAGATGACCATAGTGTATAACTAGACGTACACTGCCCTCTACCTGAACTTCTACGAATGACTTGTACTAAATTAAACTGAGTATAATCAAATTGATATTGAAATATTCCTGTGATTACATAAGCGCCAAAAAGTGCCAATTTTTAAAAAGTATTACTGTGGAATAGAATGGCTGCAATTCCAAGGACTCCTCAAATTTTAATTTGATTGTATTGTTTACTTTGATAATGATTAGATTCATATTAATAATTAAATCACAAGTGGCTTTAAAGTTCCATATCTAACAATTAAAATGAATATATAATGGATCAACAGAATATAAATCAACACAATTCACTAAATCATTCACCTTATTCACCTTTATCAATACAATACCCAATCAGTCCTTCAACATCAACATCATCATCATCTTCATCATCCAATTCAACAACTGCACCATCAACAACAACAACATCAACATCAACCAATTGGAAGAAAACAAGATCAAGAAATGGTTGTCTAAGTTGTAAAAAATTAAAAATCAAATGTAATGAAGGTAGACCAATTTGTGAATATTGTATTCATACAAATAGAAAATGTGAGTATCCACCACCAAAACAACCATCAAAAAGGAAATCAAGAAGGAAATCATCAACTATAGATAACAATCATAGGAATTCATCAATTATTAAAATACCCATTTTAAAATCATCTAAAATTCAAACTAACCAAATTAGCGCTGGCGCTATTGAACCTATATCAATAATCCCAAATATAACAAATTCAACAATATTACAATTGAATTCAATAACTTCACAATTAAAAATATCAAATTATGAATTAAAACTATTAAAAATTTTCTTACAATTTGGTCCTTCATTTTTTTCATCAGATAAAGATTTAAAAGCAAAAAAATTTTGGTCTAATGAAGTACCCAATTTTTTCAATTCTTCAAAATTAATACAAAATTCCATTTATGCACTAAGTTCAATAAGATTACTAAAACTTGAATCACAAAATAATAATTTAAATTACTTGGAAAATTCATTAATTTATCAAAATGCTTTAAAATTTCAAGATCAAGCATGTTTAATCATGAGTGAAATATTAGCACAACATGATCAATTATCAAATGGGTATACATCAGCTGAATTAGATAAAACAGGTGAAGTACTAATTGCTAAAACTATAATGGTTGCAGTTAAGGCCATATTCCCATTTAAAATTAATCCACAAACCAAAATATCAAACTCTGGTTTAATAAAATTAATAAATTTCATGACCATATCGAATTTCTTTTTTGATTTAAATACTCACAAGATCCTAAATTCAAAATATTCAGATTTAATGTCAACACCTGAATCCCTAATACTTTCATCAGAATCATTACAATCATTCCCATTCATCACATATTTAAGATCATATATCTTACAAAAACATGATTCATTTGATTTGAAAACATTTACATATAATGATACAGTATCAATGTTTGAATTATGTGCAAATAGATCAATTATTTTAAAATATCCAATACCTTTTTTCAGAACTATTGTTAAAATTTCCAAGAATGAAGAAATTTGGTCCCTTTTAATAAAAGAAGATCATACAACAATGAAATTAATTTTTTATCTAAGTTCAATTTGTTCCTGTTTGGGGTTTAAATTGATTACTGATTTAAATATTTGGGATGAATTTATTGAAATTTATAAAAATTATTGCCTTGAGAGGTTTAATGGATTTGAAGATGAATTTGATCAAAATGTTTATGAATTTGTTAAGGCAAGACAAAAGATGGAGATTCCTTTTAGTTTAGAGATTTTTAAATTAATTGGATTACCTATTAATGAAGTTATGAAGTATATGAATAGAAAAGTTTAATCATGGGGGGTGATTAATATGAGATACACCCAATGTGATTTAAGGAATTAAACCAACGTGTTACATAGCTGAAACTTGAACCATATAATAATAAAACTAAAGATCCCATCATGAATTCAATTCAGTATAGACTTAACAGATTAATTTTTAGAAAAAGATTTCTAAACTATAGTGCAAGATCTCAAGATCCATGAATGTCAAACACAAATGAAATCCCTCCATGTTAAAGCACATGTTATATATGTAGGTACATACGTCTCCAAAGCCAAGATTACAAACAAATGAAAGTATAAGAGATCTACTTCTCGATATCTCTTAAAAATACCTAAACTTGATTCCCATTAATCAATTATGAAATCAAGATTTCAAAGATCTAGGTATAAATGATTACCAAATTAGGAAACTCTTGCGCTGACTTGCGAAACGGGTGTAACACGGGTTAAGGATTTTAAAACTTTTAAGGAAATGTTGATCCTTATTTCAATTGTAAACCCTCGCAATTCCCCATTTGAGTAACAAGCGCAACACTCTCGTAAATTTATTGACAATCTTTTATGCAAAAACCGCAAATGATTAACAGATTAACGTTTTTGGTTTCCTGATTAAGCCGCATAACAGGAAACAGGAACGAAAAATACACGAAATTCAGCGAAATTTAGCGAAATTTAACGAAAACCTTTAAAGTTTAAAAACTTTTTGGCATGTTTTAAAAAAAAAAGAAGACGTACCTCCGCGAATTTAATTTGTTTTGGTTTTTTTGAAGGGTAAAAGTTATATTTAAAAACATTTCAATTGATAAGATATTTAAATACACGTTTGAATCCTTAAACTAATTTTGGAAAAAGTGGTGGTGGTAGTATAACTGTTGTCGCTAATTAAAACATGCAGTTACATTATAAAAGTTCCGCTGTACTTCAAGATATCAAAGATACTCAAAATTCAATCTCCAAATCAGAAAAATCTACAAGTTCAAATACAAATAATATGGTTACTAAACCAAAGATTAAAAGATCAAGAAATGGTTGTCTTTCATGTAAAAAGATGAAGATTAAATGTGGTGAACAAAAACCATCATGTGAATATTGTGCACATACAGGTCGTGATTGTGTTTATCCTGTATCTAAACAACAATTAAAGATAACTAAAAACCCCAAACCAATCTCAAGCAGTGTACCTCAAAATGGAAATCAAATTCCAAAACAAATTAATACAGAAATGTTATTAATTTCATCATCACCAATACAAAAAAAATTAAATTCACCTCAAGAACATTTAAAAATTACAAGTTTCCAACATTGTTTATTATCAAATTATTCAAGTTTTGGAGAAGAATTTTTCACTTATCATATACAACAAAATACTCATGATTTTTGGATGATTGATCTACCAAGGAAATGGTCAAGTTCTCAATTATTAAAAATTGCAACATTTTGTGCTACATCAATGAAATTATTATCAAAATATTCATTAAAAGATATTCATTTAATAAGTTTTGATAATGATGATAATCAAGCCTCTGAATATTTTAATCAATTAATACCCAATAAAAAATTAAATTTATATGAAGAAGCTTTTAAATTTTTTAATGAAACTTTTGAAATTGTGGAAAATTATACAAATTTTTTAGAAAATTGTATTAATCCAAATGATCATATTGAATTAATTGGACAAATTATCGTGGGTAAAACTGTTTTATATTTATCATGTATGTCAATATCTCCACAATTAAATAATGAAGCAATTGAAACTCAAGATATTTCTAAATGTGGGATTTTTAAATTATTTGATATTACTAAAGGTTTTATACTTTTCAGTAAAAAATATATTTCATATTTAATTGGTACTCATTATGAAAAAATGTTTTCATTAAAAAATGAAATTATTGATGTTTCAATACCAAATAAATTCCCATTTATAAATTATCTAAGAGATTATATTAATGAAACTATAGATTCATTAGATTTATTACAAATTAATTTCTTAAATATTATTGCAAGAATGGAAGTTGATTGTTATCGTGCCTTGGTATTTGATTATCCAATCCCATTAGCAACTCCATTAGCAGAATTATCACAAGATGAAGATTTCCTATGGGCTTTAAAACAAGAACACCCCGTTGCAATGAGAATAATGTTTTATTTTAGTTCATTATGTTCTATATTAGATAATAAGATGTTTAAAGAAAGTTCAATATGGGATGAATATATTGAAGTTTATAAAATTAAATTAGGTGGTTCTTTCCAAAATATAAATGATTTTAATGTTTATTCTTGTGTCCAAGCAAGAATTCATAATAAGATTCCATATAGTTTAAAATTATTACAAAATTTTGGTATTAAATCAATGGAGGAAATTATGTATGATTCTGAAGTTGTTGAATTGAAAACTAATTTATCAAGTCCTTATACAGAAGTTGATTCTTTATTTTATGGATAGAATTGAGTTGAATCATTTTTCAATTAGAAGTATATATTGGCTGGTCCAATAATGTGTGTTATGATTTTGATTTTTTTTTTTAGTATATAATGAATGAATAATTATACTGTCTTAGACTTAAACTAATACAACTTGTACTAATTTAAATTTAACTCTCGAGGATTTTGATCAGGATTTACCAGGATTTTATCAACAATTGATCAACGTATAACCATAAAAGATACTAGTAAATCCATGATCTTCGAATATACGACAAATGCATGTGGTGAATCATTAACTTGTACAACTAAAGTCTAAAACTGGTGATTCGTGAAGTTTGAACTCATAGATCAATAAAAATCTATATACAATAGATAACCAATATAAACTAATCATTTAATATCATAACTAATTACATCATATTTTCACCATACAAATACAAATATACTATACGACGTACTCCTCATTTCCAAATTTAAAACCCTCAATTAGGCAATATTTAAACTTGC